TTTTTTTGTAGAGACAGAGTTTCACCATGTTGGCCAGGCTGGTCTCAAACTCCTGATCTCAAGTGATCTGCCCACCTCAGCCTCCCAAAGTGCCGGGATTACAGGCATGAGCCACTGTGCCTGGCCCAGAAATGTTATTTTTTAAATGAGACGTTTGGGGAGAGTGTCCCTTGTTCCTTTTTCCTGTGTGCTTTAGGCAGCCAGCTCCTGTACAATACAATAGCTGGAAAAGCTCTGAAGAACTACAGATAGAACTGAATGAATTCAGGATGGCCTATTGGGAATGTAGAGAATTAAAATTTAAAAGATTTGTATTGATTGGTTCACTGAATTTGACTTTCTTTGGTTTTGATTCAGTTAGATGGTTTCTTTTAACAGATAAGTCATTATTAATTTTTCTTTTTCTTTTGTTTTCTTCTTCTTCTTTTTTTTTTTTTTTTTTAATAGATGAAGTCTCGTTCTGTTGCCCAGGTTGGAGTGCAGTGATGTGATATTCATTCACTGCAACCTCCACCTCCTGGGTTCAAGTGATTCTCTCTCCTTGGCCTTCCTCGTAGCTGGGATTAGGTGTGAGCCACCACACCCAGCTAATTTTTGTATTTTTAGTAGAGATGGGGTTTCACCATGTTGGTCAGGCTGGTCTTGAACACCTTGAGGTAGGGTGATTTGCCTACCTCAGCCTCCAAAATTTGCAGGGGTTACAGGTGTAAGCCACTAGCCTGGCCTATCACCTTAATTTTTCTTACCTTATTTGAGATTGAGGAGGATAGAGGTAGAAGAGACTTAGATCTGGTGGGTCAGAGGAAGTAATCTCAGACACCTTCAGTATAAAAGTCAGACAGTGGTCTGAAGAGAAAGAAGATTGCTTGAGGCAACTCTAGGAAGAGTCTAGAATGGTAATTGCAGTAATCTGACTACATCCAAAAGAAAGGGCAAAATGGAGCCGACTTCTCTGAGAGCAAACAAAGATTTTGTTGAGCGAAACATTGAAACATTGCTTAGGTATTTGTAATTATCTTATTTTAAAAATATTTAAGTTATAAACCATTTAAATCATTAACAAGCTGTTGTATTATAAGAAATTTTGCATTTTTAAGGGTTTTTCTTTTCTCTTTTTCTCTTAGCCACCATATGAGAAGTAAGCAGTATCATATCAGTAAAATAATTATATTCTTTTTCTGGACCTTGTGACCTTCACAGCCTCAAACAGAAGAAGACAGAAAGTTAAATTAGCTGGGAAAAATGCCATTTAAGTTAATAAATGCTTCCCACAATCTGTTTTCATGTTTAAGAATTCACATTATTTGTGCTACGGAACTAAACATAATGACAAAGAAACATCAACATGCAGGCAGTGTGCTTTGTTACATTTTTTTTAACAAAATATAAGTTATGAGATTTTTAGAGAGAAAAATACCAATTCACTAATGTTAATTTTCCGTTTGATGACATATACTTTCTTGTTCTGAATTTAAGATGCACACGTTAGAAAGCTAATAGTTTGATGGCTATTTTCATGTAAGAGGAAAAAGTAAAAAATACTCTGTAGATTTCCACAAATGTTAAAAATTTTTAATTTGTTCAGTTGTTTCTGGTGTTATAGAACAATAGAGTTGATGCCTTAGAACAATTGTATTACTGAAACACTAATTATTTTTAGATAAATACATTTCACGGTTCATTTAGCTCTCCAGGATGTTCTGTTACACCAGAATCACTTTAGAAAAACAATGTTTTCATTTTGATAGCATAGGTATATATATGCTGTACAAAGGTATAGCTATCAATAAAAAGAATTTTGGTATCATAAAAATGACCCATGAAACACCTGGCGTAAGTTACCTAAAGGTTTCTATTTTAAAATTGCAAAACTCCTTTTAGGTGAAAAAATAGTGTTTTTAAAAAGATATAACAAATATATATTGAGTTTCCATGAAGTGCCAGGCTTTATTTAGCAAAGTAATATCCTAATTCACTGGGTGCCTGATGTCAAACTGTTACCAAATCCGTCACAGTAAAGGGTTCTGAAACTCTAAAACCTTCAATACAGCACTCCTTTATTCTGTCCACCATGCGCTTTTAGGTGTTGCAAGATAAGGCAGCAGACATCACTGACAAAATATGAAGTATTTTTGTGATACTTACTCTATTGTGATACTTAAGATATTTTTGTGATACTTAAGTTCATTCTAAAATTTATAGGGAAATGCAAAAAATCTAGAAAGCCAAGACACAATTTATTAAGAACTACAATGAGGTAGTACTGCTTGATTTACTAGCCATCAAAAATTACTATAAAACTGTAGTAATAAAGATTGTTTAGTACTGACATAAGGATGGATAAATAGAGCAATAAAACCAATTAGAGAGCTCCTAAACAGGCTGGTGCAAATATAGGCACTGATATACAGCAAAGGTGTAACAGGGAAGTAGTGTGGAAAAAAGATGCTCTTTTAAATGACTATCACTGGCACAACTGGGTATCTTGTGGAAAACAGGGAAATTGGCCTTCTACTTTACATTATAATAGAAACTTAATTCCTGATAAATTAAGTGCAGTAAAACTTTTAGAAGAGACTATCTTTATGACATTGAGGTAAAGAAACATTTATTTTAAACCACAAAACAACTAACTGTAAAGGAAATACTTAATAAAAATTTTACTCAATTAAAAGTAAAGTTTTTTTCAGCAGAATGTTGACTAATTAAAAAAAAAAAGTAAAGGCTTTCTCTTGGTGTGTATTTGAATTCAAGTAAAGAGAAAGAAAAAAAAAGAAAAAGTAAAGGCTTTCAAAGAAGATACCATGAAGAAAAACTTAAACCACAAAGTGAAAGAAGATATTTGTACCATATATAGATGACAACGGACTCTTATTCAGAACTTATAAATATGTCCTACCTACCAAAAGGCTAGGGCATGCACTTCACAAGAAAGGAAATATAGAAGGCCAATAAAAATTAAAATTACAGTGAGATGCCACTGTACAAATATTAAAACATCTCACAATAACAAGTTTTGAAAAGGAAATGAAGAAAGCTACAGGAACTCTTTGTACACTGCTGTTAAAGTTGTAAATTGGTACAACCACTTAGGAAAACGTTTGGCATTCTCTTGTGAAGTTGAAGAATCATATGTTATTACATAGTATTTTCACTTGTAGATATATATCTAGATCAGTGTGTAATTAAAATGTTCATCATAAGTAGAATGGGTTAAATAAGTTGTGGCATATTCATATAGTAATATACTATGAAGACAGTGGAAATGATGGAACTATTGCAATATGCAACTACAGGATTCAATCTCAGAAACTGAATAAAGGTCACCAAAGAATACACATACAGTATTCTCTTTTTCTTTTTCGATACTGAGTCTTACTCCATCACATAGGCTGGAGTGCAGTGGTGCGGACTCGGCTCACTGCAACTTGCGCCTCCCAGGTTCAAGCGATTTTCCTGCCTCTGCCTCCTGAGTAGCTGGGATTAACAGGCGCCTGCTACCATGCCTGGATAATTTTTGTGTTTTTAGTGGAGATGGTGTTTCGCCTTGTTGGCCAGGCTGGTCTCGAACTCCTGACCTCAAGTAATCCACCTGGCTTCCCAGAGTGCAGGGATTACAGGCGTGAGCCACTGCGCCTGATCTGAGGCATGTAATTTCTGATTGTCTTTTTTTAAAGATAACAACCATTGATGTTCAATTCTAGATCCATTAATTCATAGGGGTGTCAAAATTGTGATATTCTATCATACTTTTTTATTCATACCTAGAATACTTTTATAGAGAGATGCTCCCATCCATTGTTTACTCAGTGATACTTTTTAAAATGTATTATTATTATAATTATTTTGAGACGGTATCTTGCTCTGTCACCCAGGCTGGAGTGCAGTGGCATGATCTCGGCTCACTGCAACCTCTGCCTTCCAGGTTCAAGCAATTCTCCTGCCTCAGTCTCCAGAGTAGCTGGGATTACAGCCGCCTGCCACCATGCCCAGCTAATTTTTTGTATTTTTAGTAAAGACAGAGTTTCACCATGTTGGCCAAGCTGGTCTTGAACTTCTGACCTCATGTCCACCTGCCTCGGCCTCCCAAAGTGCTGGGGTTACAGGTGTGAGCCACCGTGCCTGGCGGTTACAATGATACTTTTATATAGGGAAGGTAGGATAAATGTTTGATTTTTTCCTTCAGTTGTATTAGTTTGTTTTCATGCTGCAGATAAAAACATACCTGAAACTAGGAACAAAAAGAGGTTTAATTGGACTTACAGTTCTACATGGCTGGGGATGCCTCAGAATCATGCGGAAAGGAAAAGGCACTTACACAGCAGCAGCAAGAGAAAATGAGGAGGAAGCAAAAGTGGAAACCCCTGATAAACCCATAACATCTTGTGGACTTATTCACTATCACGAGAATAACACGGGAAAGACCGACCTCCATGGTTCAGTTACCTCCCCACTGGGTCCCTCTCACAGCGTGTGGGAATTCTGACAGTTCAAGTTGAGATTTGGATGGGGACACAGCAAAACTGTATCATCAGTGTACAAGATAATGCATTAGTTCTCTGTCATCTTTTTTGGGTGTGTGTCATAAGCTCATGTAGTTCAATATATGTGATAAATTTCAGTGTATTGCAGTCATCTTTATCAAAGCTCAGATTGCCTCATCGTTGGCCATTGGGAGCAAAGATGGTTCCTGAGTGCTTTTGACCTGACCTTGATCATCCTTGATAAATAAAGGGACAGTATTTTTTGCTTTGCTTTTCAGAAACCTCAGCATGTTTTCTGTGCCTTTAGGAAGGTGGACTTTAGGGATCTATTTGTTTTAGGACATTTGAAACTGACCGATATGATATTTGATATAATTTGTAAGCAGATATGCCTTAGAAGTTGTATTACTTTTAAAGAGTAATCGTTTTATTTTTTAGCATATGTGGAAAATCAAAACATTTCAAGAAAATAAGTTCCAAGGACTGATTTTAAACCTAATTTAATGTTTCTTTTAGACTTGTCACGAAATCGTCTTTCAGAAATTCCTATAGAAGCATGTCACTTTGTTTCTCTTGAAAATCTCAACTTGTACCAAAATTGTATTCGGTATATTCCAGAGGCAATTCTAAACCTACAAGCTCTAACATTCTTAAATATTAGGTAAGACTATCGTTTTCTTATTTTAAATTTCTGATTTTATGTGATCTTTTCAATTTTCCCCTCTCACTAAAATATTTAACCTATGTATATGCTATCTAATCATATCAAGAGTTTCTATATGTGCTCTTAGGATATATTAACAATATTTCCTGTGTCCCTCCAGTTTCTTTCTTTTTGGCTTTGCAATACAGATGCTCCCTGACTTAAAGTGGGGTTGCATCTCAGCAAACCCTCTAAGTTGAAAATGCATTTTCCACATAATCCATCAAATATTATAGCCTAGCCCAGCCTACTTTAAATGTGCCCAAAACACTAATATTAGGCTACAGCTGGGCAAAATCATCTAACACAAGGCCTATTTTACAGTAAAGTATTCCATAGCTCATATAATTTATTAGATACTGTACTAAAGTATGGTTTCTCCTGAGTGTGTATTGCTTTCTCACCACCATGAAGCCATTGTAAGTCAGCAGTTGTTAGTTGGAGATGCCGGTAATTAACAGATCTTACTAGCCATTTGCCTAATGGGCTCACAGCAGTCTTGTAGCAGTGCTTCTCCGATTATGCTTTCTAATTTGCGTCATCAAATAAGAATAGTAGATCTGAAATTACTTTGTTTCTTGTGACCATATTTGCATATTAAGTTCTGAATATATAAATGCATTTATTCATCTTGTCTACTCCATTTTCACATCTTAAAATAACTCTTGTTGTTTTATTTCACTATAAAATTTGCAAATGTTCATTGAAGATAATGTGTAGATGTGGAAAAGTATAAAGGAAATTCATCAAAATGTATTTGAATTTTATAAGTGATCTTTTCCTTCTTTTTTCCCAGGCTATTAGTCAAATTTTTAAATGAGTTTTCCTCTTGACATGAAACATTTTTTAAAACTTTTGTACGTAATTATTTGTTGTACAGCTTACATACTATTGAAAATATATTTTCCTCTGGGATCTTTAGTTTCTTCTAGTTTTTCACCATGATAAAAATAGTATTAGTAGAGAATTTTGTATGTAAATGTTTACTTTTTCCTTAAGATAGATGTCTGGAATTGTAATTGGACTAAAAAGTTTTAAAGGCTCATGATCTCAGTAAAAGATCTTAGAAATGGAGAGGTCCTAAGGATTAAGAGGTTAAATCTACATACATAAAAATCTAATTTATTTTTGTCTTGATAGATGTGTTTTATTATTTTACTTTTAGTTCTGGTTTGCATGTTTTTGTATAAGTAAAAATTATTTACCTGTAATTTAGTTGGTATGATCTGTGAAATCACAACTTACTGCTTTTTTCCCATAGAGCTATATTTTAATCATTTATGTACATTTGATTATAATATTGTAACGATGAGGGAAGTAGATTACAAGTTTTGCTTATAACTCTTCTTCAGAAGGAAGGAGGATGATATTACCCACCTTTAGAAAAATCTTTTCCTACATAAACTTTAATAAAATTATACTGTATTTATATAGTACTTAATTATTTACAAAGGAGTTTTATTGTGCAAGAGCCCTGGAAGGTAAGTAGGGAGATATTTAAGATCCTTCAGTTTACAGATGAGGAACCTTTGTAAGATGCAGATTAAATTCAGCCACAGAGCTGACCACCAATAAAATGAAGCCTAGAACTCCAGTACCCTGTTTATTTCTTGCAGGACTCATGTTTATTATTTTACTGAGTATAGAATGAGAAAGATGGAAAACTTTTCTTCAGTGGTGGACTCTGATTCTTCTCTCTCTCTACTTATCCATTTAGTCGGAACCAACTGTCAACATTGCCGGTACACCTGTGTAATTTACCATTGAAAGTCTTAATTGCTAGTAATAACAAATTGGTGTCACTTCCAGAAGAAATTGGACACCTCAGACATTTGATGGAACTTGTAAGTTAATAATTTTTATCGTCCAACGTGTGTGTGTGTGAAACTTTGGAGAGAGAGGTGTATCCAGAGTCATACCATACTCTTTTATATGGCAGAGATTGATTATTAAGATTTTTTTTGACTGATTTTCTAGTATTGGTAATGAATTGTTTACTGAATTTTCAGTACTCAAGTAGTTGACATACAGAATTAAGAAATAACTGAAAGTACAAGCCTAATAGGCCCACACAGATGGGAAAAGTTCATTAGCATTATGTTCTAGCCAATATTAAATGATTTCTATGTCGTTAAATTTTTGAGATATGTTAATATATTTGAATTTTTCAAACTAAATTTATTTGTATCATCAATATTCTGATTTTTGATTAGTTCCTATTGGAGAGTGGCATTACAAAGGTCAGGTTTATTTTTTTGCCTTACATTATATCTTTAGAACCTATTTCCCATTCTATAAAGTAAAATATACTTCATTGCCATGTATTTCCTAAGATACTTAATTGTATCATTCTACCACTCTTTGTAAATGAAATCACTTCTGGCCGGGTGTGGTGGCTCATGCCTGTAATCCCGGCAATTTCGGAGGCCAAGGTGGGTAGATCACCTGAGATCAGGAGTTCGAGACTATCCTGGCCAACATGGTGAAACACTGTCTTAAAAATAAATAAATAGAATAAAAATGTAAAAAAATAAAATCACTTCTTGAGTATTTATCTGCAGAGCATGGGAATAACAATTTTCTCAATCACCATAATAGTATCATGAATTGATTACTAAAATTATTTTCATTTTATAGCTGAGAAGCTTGCACTCAAATAGGTTAAATAATTTGCCTAAGGTTATATAACAGAAGTAGTGTTTGAAACCAGACTACCTTAACTTGTTTTGAAGTGGTCAAATACAATTATAATTGTTCATTAGGATTTAGGGGTATGGCTACATGGAGGTTTATAAACAAATGATTATGATAAATAAAAAATTAATACATATGGAATGTAGTTGGATCATTTTTTCCAGGTAGATTAAGAGGTTACATGTGAAAATCCACAAATATATTAAAACTAGAGTCTAGATTCTAGACCACTACTTTTGGAGCCAGTTAGACTAGGAAATAAGTATCAGAATGAATGTTTATCAGCATTTCTTCAGAACTTGGGTTAAAAACATGTACTAGAAGTAAACTATAATTCAAAGTCTTATTTTCAAATCATTTAAACTTTTTGTTCTACTTACTCAGTTCTAAATACTTAAAAGACAGGTATGTGTTACAGAAGCTGCTTTTTGTTTTCTACAAAAGAGGTTAATTGAGATCCTCAGTCATATAAGGAACTTGTGGCAGAATAAGAATTAGTGCCCTGGCTGGGTGCAGTGGCTCATGCCTGTAATCCCAGCACTTTGGGAGGCTGAGGCGGGCAGATCACCTGAGGTCAGGAGTTCAAGACCAGCCTGGCCAACATGGTGAAACCCTGTCTCTACTAAAAATACAAAAATTGGCCGGGTCTGGTGGCATGCACCTGTAATCCCAGCTACTTGGGAGGCTGAGGCAGGAGAATCGCTTGAACCCAGAAGGCAGAGGTTACAGTGAGCCAAGATTATACCACTGCACTGCAGCCTGAGTGACAAAGTGAGACTCTGTCTCAAAAAAAAAAAGTGTCCCTGAAGCTCTCCATTCCCATCTGATGGTCTTTCAGCAACATCCTTATTGCCTCTTACTTTTTTTCCTCTTTATTAAGTGAAAGTAAACTGTTTTCAACATACGTATTTTCTGAGAGATTATACATTGATATTACCTTTTGGCTCAGACTCAATTTTTCTATCCTTTCAACTTTTTTTTTTTTTCTAGCTAGGATTTGAACGTATATCCTTCCAACTTCTTTTAGAACCCTTTTACTGCCTAGAGCATTGGACTAAGAAATCTAGCTTCTGGCCCGGTGCGGTGGCTCATGCCTGTAATCCTAACATTTTGGGAGGTGAAGGCAGGTTGGATCGCCTGAGGTCAGGAGTTCCAGATCAGCCTGGCCAACATGTGAAATCCCGTTTTTACTAAAAATAGAAAAATCAGCTGGGCACGGTGGCGCGTGCCTATAATCAGTCTCAGCTACTCGGAAGGCTGAGGCAGGAGAATTGCTGGAACCCGGAGGTGGAGCTTGCAGTGAGCCGAAATCAGGCGACACCAGCAAGAGTCTGTCTCAAAAAAACAAAAAAAGTCTTAGCTTCTGATTCTATTTAATGATTGGTAGGAAAAGTAAAAATAGTATTTTCTGTAAGCATATTTTGAGAAAATTAAAAAAATAATGTTTGAAGCTTATTGAAAATTTTGGCAAGCAGTCTTTTTAAATTCTTTTTGCTGTTTTTAAAAAAGAAAATAGAGACGCAGCCTTACCATGTTGCCCAGGCTGGTCTGAAACTCCTGGGCTCAAGCCGTCCACTCAGCTTGGCTTCCCAAAGTGCTGGAATTACAGGCATGAGCCTCCACACCCTTTGCTATTTATTTAGCAAGTGGTCATTACTAAATAGTAAATATATTATTTTCTTTTAGTCATATTGGAAGAATTTTAAGTTTTAATGTGGCAGCTTAGAGGTTTTGTTAACCTAGGTATCTTCCCTCTGTTACACATAATTATGGGTTTACAAATTATTTTGGCTGATCTCAGAATTATGGTATTCTGAATTTATTAATCTTGGAATCTGTAGGTAGTCTCTTTTCAGAAGCATTGAATCAAGCTATTGAGTAAGATACTGGAAGGTCTACCAAACATATCTAATTTTCTAGACATTTTAAAGCAGACAAGTTTGTAATGTTAGGATAATCTTTATTTTGTATTTTTTCAAAATAGGATGTGAGCTGCAATGAAATTCAAACTATCCCTTCCCAAATTGGTGACCTGCAGGCCTTGAGAGACCTTAATGTAAGAAGAAATCACTTAGTACATTTACCTGAAGGTAAGAAACTATGAAATAATTATTTTTTTATTATTATTATTTTAAAGCTTTCTCAGAGCAATCAAGACAAAAATGTATAAGGATTATATCCAGGCTAGGCGCTGTGGCTTATGCCTGTAATGCCAGCACTTTGGGAGGCAGAAGAGGGAGGATTGCTTGAGCCCAGGAATTCAAGACCAGCCTGGGCAACATAGGGAGTCTATCTCTACAAAAAATTAAAAAATTAGCCCAGTGGGGTGGTGCATGTTTGTAGTCCCAGCCGTTCAGGAAGCTGAGGTGGGAGGAGTCCCTGAGCCCAGGAGGTCAATCAAGGCTGCAGTGAGCTGTGGTAGCATCACTGCACTCTAGCCTGGGCACCAGAATGAGACCCTGTCCAGAAAAAAGGAGAGAGGGGAGGAGAGAGAGAGAGAGAGAGAGAGAGAGAGAGAGAGAGAGAATGAATGTGTGTTTGTGTTACGTCCAGTGTTTGAAATCTAATGGTTTACTTAATAGTGCTATCTGTTTGATTGTGGATTTTAAAAGCCTCTTCAATGAAAAGTTTGATAACTGTTGACCTTTGATTTTATTTTTACCTCTTGTCAACTGATGTAATCAATAATTTAGAGTAAGGTCACTGAAAATTTCAGTAAGCATGACTGTTTGGGGGAAATGTAACATGTTTGGATAAGAGGATAGTGTAGTATAATGAAAAACATTCCCACAGTTAGCACTCACTTAAAAATGAACTTTGACTTGAAGTTTACCCATCACTGGAGATGTTCAGACAGAGGCTAATGAACCATGTGGAGGTGACGTGTAGTGTGAATGTTAAATGGGGTGAGAGACCGCACTAAGAGACTAGTTATCTTAGGCTGACTACAGGCTCTGATACATGTATTTGAATGATAAAAATGATTAAACAAATTAAGTATAATTTATCAATCTCACAAATTCATGAAACAAAAAGCTAGAAAAGAAGATTAAAATGAAAACTATTATTTTATTAGATCCAGAATATATATTTCTTCTGCTATATTTCTACTCACCACCCAGCAATAATAATTACAGCTCATGGCAAGTCTTGTTTCATCTGTACTCTCATTTACTCCTCCCCCCCCCACTATTCACTAGATTAATTTGAATCAAATATGGAATTTTATTGGCAAACATTCCAGAAAAGGAATCTTCTGAAGACATTTTCATGACAGTGATTTTCTGGGTTCTTTTACAAACTATGACTTGCAGTATACAATAAATGTTTTGTTTGTTTGTTTTGAGACAGGGTCTCACTCCCATTACCCAGGCTAGAGTGAAGTGGCACAAACATGGCTTGCTGCAGCCTCGACTTCTCGGGTTTAAGTGATCCCTTCCACCTCAGCCTTCCAGGTAGCTTAGACTAGAGGCACTGGCCACCATGCCCAGTTAAATTTAGTAGAGACAGGGTTTTGTCATGTTGCCCAGGCTGGTCTTGAAGTCCTGGTCTCAAGAGATCCACCTGCCTGGGCCTCTCAGAGTGCTGGGATTACAGGTGTGAGCCACTGCGCCTGGTCACAATAAGTGTTGAATTAAGTAATGATATTTTTACTTTCCCTGTAGAATTCAAATATTTACACCAATTTGATTCGGCATAATACTTAGCTCTAACATACTAGTGGAGCTTTGACATTTTGGATTCCAAGTAAATGTGTAAGAATGTGACCTTTTCAGTCTACCTTTACATACTTACTGCAACCAAAATCTTGCATATCTTTCCTCTCACTTGGCTTGTTCAGTAACCTTCACACCCTTTATCCTCAGGGCCTTCCTTACTTGTTTCTGGTTCTGTTTGCTACCAACTCAGGAATGTAAATGAAGGCCCTCAGCAAAACCAAAATCCTTACCTCGAGGACCTTATAACCCCAAATTTCTCTCTAGTGTTATCTCTGTACTCAGGACTCACCTACTATGGTTGATCTTTAAAGACTTACTCTTATAATAATATTTATTTAGTGTGCAATCAATTAATGAAAATATTAGGGTTTTAATCAAAATGAAAATTGAGTGTTTCAGATGACAATTGAAGCTTCTTTTATCAACTAATTTATTTCTGTATCTTATTTTGATTGTAGACTGCTGACAAAACCATTTATCACACAAATTTTTTTAAAACAGTTTCTTTTATCATCTCAGCACACATATGTTGAAATGAGATGGCAGGTGAAGCTTTACTCCACATTAAATAATGTGGAAGTTAGTGTTACTTAATGGGTAATTTCTAACCTATTGCAGTTTGGTAGATATCATATCTTTTTTGTTATATTGCCATTTTGATTTAAAATTATTTTTACCAAATAAGATATTACATCAGTCAAAAAATATTAAGCTTAAAATAATTAGTAAAAAAACAAAAACAAAAAAAGAAGAAAAATAAATAGTATAATTCCCCTGCCTCAAACGTCCCTACACACCAGTTTCAATGGCCAAAAGTATGAGTATGTACCTTCATTAAACTCATTGACTCTTTTTTTTTTTTTTTTTTTTTTTTTTGAGATAGGGTCTTACTCTGTCGCCCAAGCTGGAGTGCATGGCATGATCATAGCTCACTGTAACCTTGAACTCCCTGAGCTAAAGCCATCCTCCCTTCTGGCCTTCCAGGTAGCTGGGACTGCAGGCATGTGCTATAACACCCAGAAATTTTTTCATTGTTTTGCAGAGACAAGGGTCTCACCATGTTGTGTGGCTGGTCTCCTGGGCTCAGGCAATCTGCCCACCTCAGCCTCCTAAAGTGCTGGGATAACAGACATGAGTCACAGTGCCTGGACTGCTGACATGTGTGTAATTGATATGTTTTTATAGATATTGCTGGTTTGGGCGACTCTGACACCTATGTCAACTTCCTGTTGTGATAGATGAGGATTTAATTTCCTTACACTATCATCATATCATGCCATTGCTCTCCTCCTCTCATCTTCCCAGTGTAGTTTTATCACAACTTTTGATTAAATTGTTATTCAGGGTTCACATAACTATAGTTATGTAAACATTGTTTCCTGCCAATTCAAGTGATGTACTCTAATTTTATGTACTTTCTTGTACACTTTATATAACTGATTAGAAGTTCTGAGCATACTGGGCAGAAATTGCATAATGGTAATTAAGTAGCAAGCTGTGTATTTTATTAGAAGAAATTCCATATCATTATATAAAGGCCTTTTATATGGGACTGTGAAGTTTATCTGGAGAAAGAAGCTCCATTTCTTCTACATTATTGTGTATATTCTTAACTACTGCCATTCCTAGGGTTGAAGTAGGATAGGGTGGGTTGGGAAGGTGCTGAGGTCTTACAGTTAAGTGTGTAGACTTTCACTTAACTCCTCCATTTCAGCTGGCACCTCATCCTGACTTTCCATTGTGCCTGGGATCCCTGAGTTCAGAGCATTTTTTATTCAGTTTCACTAGAAAATAACTTGCTGACTCCTGGGGACACTGGAGAAGGACAGTGCCCCAGCTGTGTTAGTGGGGGCTGTGGACCTAGGCATAACTGTTCTTTATATAGAGTGTTGTCTAATCCTTTTGTTACCCTCACCTTTTTATGGTGTCTGGACCTCCAGCTTCTGAGACTTTCTGTAGTTCTGAGGGGGTCAGAGCTGCTTGCTTGTTATTAGTAATCCTGTCTATAGGCAGCTAGATCTCACTTATACCACTTTACCACTTTTCTCATTTATACCACATTGCTACCAGTTAGTCACTAAAAGAGAATGGGAGTAAATATCTGTGTTAAAATCACGATATTTAACTAGAAGCTTTTGGAAAAATTCTCTAGTTTTAAAACATCATTAATTGATCATTTTCATTTTACGTTCATGCAGAGCTGGCAGAGTTGCCTTTGATACGGTTAGACTTCTCATGCAATAAAATTACCGTAATCCCTGTTTGTTATCGGAACCTCAGGCACCTGCAGATGATCACCCTGGATAACAATCCACTACAGTCACCTCCTGCACAGGTAAACCATAGTGAGCATGGTGTGGACTTTTGTTGACAAAGGATGAAATTTAAAATTTCTCGTACATTTATTGTTCTGTTAGAAAATAATTTCTTTTAAAATAAATTCACATACATATATATTCTTTAGAAGCCTTGAATTAATGGATTAGAAGATAAACAATGTTTCCAGAAGTGTTTTTCCTTTCTCTAAATTGGTATTGTTTTTAAATTGAAGAATTCTTCCCTAAATCTTTTTCTAATAAAATTTTAATTTTTTTCTAGTAAAATTTTAATTTCTTAATTTTTTTGTGTGTGCAAGTTGAGTGTAGACAACGTAAATGCTTGAGACAAATAAAAATACTCAGCTTTCGGAGCTAAAAATTATCTGTATATTTCTTTTCCTGACCATGGTTATTGTAACCTTCCTTGTTCTAAAGTCATAAATTCCTAGTTTAGACAGTTTGGTCATTTATCAGTGACTGAAATGAAGCTATGTGGTAATAATTATAAGGCAGCTTTACATGTAGATGCAGAACATCCTACAACCTATACATTTTTGCCAACTCATTATTTTCACTTTTAACTCTGCAATTTATATATGATTTTATACAAGCAGATGCTACCTTTTTTTTTTTTTTTTTTTTGAGACGTAGTTTCGCTCTTGTTACCCAGACTGGAGTGCAATGGCGCCATCTCGGCTCACCGCAACCTCCGCCTCCTGGGTTCAGGCAATTCTCCTGCCTCAGCCTCCCGAGTAGCTGGGATTACAGGTGCCTGCCACCATGCCTGGCTAATTTTTTGTATTTTTCAGTGGAGACAGGGTTTCACCATGTTGGTTAGGCTGGTCTTGAGCTCCTGACGTCAGGTGATTCACCCGTCTCGGCCTCCCAAAGTGCTGAGATTACAGGCAAGAGTCACCGTGCCCAGCTGTGTATGCTACTCTATATGGCAACTATAAAACTTTATGAGTAAACTTCCTAACGATAGAAGGGTCTTATAAGCTTCAAGAATTTGTGTTTTGACTTCTGGAACAAGTAGCAACAGAAATATATGTAATTTTAATGTTTCATGTTTTCCTGCTCTTCTCTCTCAAAGAAAACATGATCAAAAATATAATTGTACATGATTGTTGGATTCCTAAAAGTAAAAGTTGCTTCATGTAATCTGTTGAGGAGAAATGCTTTAAATCTCTGACTATGCAGACTAATCAGTGTGATAAGTTTACTTGAGGCCAGGCACGGCGGTTCACGCCTGTAATCCCAGCACTTTGGGAGGCTGAGGCGGGTAGATCATGAGGTCAAGAGATCGAGACCATCCTGGCCAACATGGTGAAACCCTGTCTCTTCTAAAAATACAAAAATTAGTCAGGTGTTTGGCATGTGCCTGTAGTCCCAGCTACTTGGGAGGCTGAGGTGGAAGAATCACTTGAACCCGGGAGGTGGAGGTTGCAGTGAGCCAAGACTGCGCCACTGTGCTCCAGCCTGGTGACAGAGCAAGACTCTGTCTCAAAAAAAAAAAAAGATAACTTGATATTTGAACAGAAAAAAAAAAAAGATAACTTGATATTTGAACAGTATAATCAAAAATTATTTATTTTGTATATTACTGAAATTTATTAGTGACTAGAAAATGAAAACTTATATTTACCAGTTAAACACCTAAGATATTGCTGAACTAAATAATATATTTTAAGAATATTTGTTTTTTAATATTACTGTATGTACTTGATAGAAGTGCCTCCTATTCTCTCTCTCTTTTTTTTTTTTTTTTTGAAGATGGAGTTTTGCTGTTGTTACCCAGGCTGGAGTGCAATGGCACGATCTCGGTTCACTGCAACCTCCGCCTCCTGGGTTCAGGCAATTCTCCTGCCTCAGCCTCCCAAGCAGCTGGGATTACAGGCACGCGCCACCATGCCCAGCTAATTTTTTATATTTTTAGTAGAGACGGGGTTTCGCCATGTTGACCAGGATGGTCTCGTTCTCTTGACCTTGTGATCCGCCCATCTCGGCCTCCCAAAGTGCTGGGATTACAGGCTTGAGCCACCGCGCCCGGCCTCCTATTCTCAATATACATTACATAAAAAGTTGATAATGATAAGCATACTTCAGATAAATAATAATTTGGTTACATTTATATTACTTTATTTAGATATGTATAAAAGGCAAAATCCACATATTTAAATACCTGAACATACAAGCTTGTAAGATTGCTCCAGATCTGCCAGATTATGACAGGAGACCATTGGGTTTTGGCTCCTGGTAAGTGTATTCTTTTCCTTTACCTATCATATTTTTTGTACAAATAATCAAATAAATTGGATATTTAAATTTGCCTGAATGTTTGACTAAAGGGAAATAACCTGTTTTAACACTGTTATTCTCAGAAAGCTTGTATTAATTGTAAAGTTGATTACCTAGATTGGCAAAGTATAGTTCTAAGGGCTTCTCAACCTTGGCGCTATTGACATTTTAGACCAGACAATTGTTTGTTTTGGTGGGCTGTCCTGGTGGGATGCCCATTTAGCAGCATCTCCCCACTAGATGCCAATAGTACTCTCCCAAGATTACAAACAAAAATGTCTCCAGATGTCCTTTTGGGGCCCTCCAGTTGAAAACTGCTGGTCTGAGTGACTTGAACACTAACTTTACCTCTGCTGCTAACCAGCTTAAGGCAAGTCGTTTGTACTGTTTGGGTTTCATTTTTTCTATAGGGAGTGAAGAGTTGGATTTGTTGACCATTAACATCACTTCAGGATCTTTTAAGTCTTGAGTCCCTCAGCTACATAACATATGACTTATAAGGTCATCCCAACCTTGGCAATCCCAACCATCTGGAATAGTCTTTTTTTTTTTTTTTTTTTGAAACAAGGTCTCACTATGCTACCTAGCCTGGTCTCAAACTCCTGAGCTCAAGCGGTCCTCCCACCTCAGCCTCCTGAGTATGGAGTAATCTTAAGTAGCAAGAATTAAATTCAGGGGCCTTTAAACAAGCAGGATAGATGTTTCAGTGAAAGTGAAATAATGTTTATGGGCTTTGCTCAAAAGAGACAACCCCTCAGGCCTTCTCTTGGAACCTCTCAAATTTTGCTTGAAAGCACAGTCCCAATAATCTCACCTCATTGGGCAAACAAGAATTGCAGAGGTGCAATTGTTTTGAAGCTGGATAATAATGAGTACATGAAGTCTCATACTATTCTGTTTAATTTGTTTTTATTTGGAATTTTTCATATTAAAGAAACCCCATTTACTTCTAATAGTTAAGTGACTGAGTGCCACATTTCTTGTTTTTAAGAAAGTTGTGGCTGGGCACGGTGGCTCACGCCTGTAATCCCAGCACTTTGGGAGGCCGAGGTGGGCGGATCACGAGGTCGAGAGATCAAGACCATCCTGGCCAACATAGTGAAACCCTGTCTCTACTAAAATATAAAAAATTAGCTGGGCATGGTGGTGCTTGTCTGTAGTCCCAGCTGCTTGGGAGGCTGAGGCAGGAGAATTGCTTGAAGCTGGGAGGCGGAGGTTGCAGTGAGCGGAGATCACGCCACCGCACTCCAGCCTGGCGCCTGGTGACAGAACGAGACTCTGTCTCCAAAAAAAAAAGTTGCATCTGTTTAATTTAAATGTTAATTATTAAAATAACGAACTTTGCAGTAACAAAGCCTCTTTCCCATAGCCATGAAGAACTGTACTCAAGTCGCCCTTATGGAGCCCTTGATTCAGGCTTCAATAGTGTGGACAGTGGTGATAAGAGATGGTCAGGGAATGAAGTAAGTGTTTTTTATATTCTGTGTGTTATAACACCTGATTAAGAGAAAATAAAATAATGAAAATGGAATGTGTCTTAACTGGATTCAATTTCTCGTTACACAAAATAGAGAAAAGTCAAGGGAGGGGCAAGAATCCCATGTAGTCCTACTGCCACAACTGGTGTTCTGCTTCTTTACTGGCTTTCTATCACGTGTATTTCCACCTGTCTGTTACCTCATTGTCTCATTTAATAGTTTCATATCATAGAAAGGCAAACAGGAGCTGAGCCAGTGGAAACCGAAGCCTAAAATTTGAGAGGCTGGGTAATCTTGAGCAGAGGCGCTAGAAGTGAGAAAACAAGTAGGACTTTAGGCTGATGGGTAAAGAGACGAGAACCTTAGTGAAGAGTATTCATATGCTCGAAATGAATAACTTCCTAGTTAATTCTGTCATTTTCCTGGTTTTTAAATTATTGGTATTATGTTTTCTGCTCTTAAAAATTACTATGTCCACAGAAGAAAAAAAAAGAAAAATTACTTATGTGTAATATTTTAGCTATGCATTGAGTTATTAATAAACTTTTGTTAGCAAGACTAATAACCTATTGGGAATCAAAAGCAAATTAATTTTAGACCACATCCCACTTGAAATTTGGAATTACTTGTGTTTGTATGTCTTGGTGGGTGGGTTCATAAATGTGGCTGTATCCATACAGATACATATGTGGATATTTTAAATTTATTTGTATATACAGATTTATGGAGTCATGAATCTTTTTTATATTTTGAGACAGTCTTGCTCTGTCACCTAGGTTGGAGTGCAGTGGCGCGATCATGGCTCACTGCACCCTCAGCCTCCTTGGCTCAAGCATTCTTCCTACCTCAGCCTCCTGAGTAGCTGGGACCACAGGCTCATGCCACCATGCCCGGCTAAATAATTTTTTTTTTTTTTTTAGAGATGGGGTCTCCCTGTATTGCCCAGGCTAGTCTCAAACTCCTGGGCTTCCAAAGTATTGGGATTATAGGCAACAGTCACCACACCAGGCCAGATTTTTTTTTCCTGAGATAGGATCTTGCTTTGTCACACAGGCTAGAGTGCAGTGGTGGAATCCTGTCTCATTGCAGCCTTGAACTCCTAGGCTTAAGCAATTCTCTCACGTCAAATATCCCAAGTATTAGGATTACAGGCATGCGTGAGCACACCCAGCTAATTTTTAAATCCCTTGAAGAGACATGGTCTCACTATGTTGCCTATCCTGGTCTTAAACTCCTAGCCTCAAGTGATCCCTCTGCTTCGTTCTCCCAAGTGCATGGATTACAGGCATGAGCCACCATGCTCTAAAATGATTGTTTTTAATGTTTCTGCTTCTTTTTTAAGCCTACAGATGAATTTTCAGATCTGCCTCTTCGAGTAGCAGAGATTACTAAAGAACAAAGACTACGAAGAGAAAGCCAGTACCAAGAGAATCGGGGCAGTTTAGTAGTAACAAATGGTGGAGGTAAATTAAACATGATTCCAGTGACATATGAAGTGTTTGTAATCATTTAACTTTTTAAAGTTGTCTTTTTCACACCCACTCCTTTTGTTCTTTGTCTATAGCTTCTTCACTCTTCTTTTAAAGACTTCTTTTCACATATGATTGAAAAAAATTATTTTCCATTAGGATGAAACGACGATTTTCGATTTCAGTTTTAGAGTTAAAACACAGTGTTATTTCCCCCTTGTTTTCATTGCGGAAGGAAACTTTATTAGAGATAGCACACCTGGAGTAGATCTTTGTTAATCTTGATTTAACCACAACCTTTTGAAGTACATTCTCCCTTTTTAAGATTCTTGCTATGGTTATTATTTGATCTCTTCTAGGACTTCGTGCATTTTGTTATTTTAGTGTTTACCTTTTCTTCATCTGGAATTATCAGATGCTTTTTAAGGGCATCTGAATCTCAGTTTTCCTTATTCTGACATTAAAAAATTTGTAGTTCATTAGCAAGGAACGCTCTTTCTACTTGCTTATACTTCTGAAGCAGACTCTTGATTTTCACATTCTATTCTGCATTGTTTGAATTGGTTTGAATTTAATGTTTAATTTAATGTTTAAATTTTGAGGGCCAGTTATAAGAAAATGACTTTGATTTTCCAGAAATCGATTACTTATCCAAGGAGAGCTTTCATTTATTAGTGATGATTTCAATTAAATGGTTACCTGTCCTATTCCTTACCATCTTTTTTTTTTTTTTGAGACAGAGTCTCACTCTGTCACCCAGGCTGGAGTGCAGTGGCGCGATCTTGGCTCACTGCAGCCTCTGCCTTCTAGGGTTCAAGTGATTCCCCTGTCAGCCTCCCGAGGACTTGGGATTACAGGAGCGTGCCACTACACCCAACTAATTTTTGCATTTTTGGTAGAGATGGGGTTTCACTGTGTTGGCCAGGATGGTTTCGATCTCCTGATATGGTGATCCACCCATCTTGGTCTCCCAAAGTGCTGGGATCACAGGCACGAGCCACCACTCCGGGCCTTCCTTGCCATCTTGTATTCTTTACTCCTGTCATTATCATTTCATTTACATTTCAGTAGTTTTCTTTTAAATTTTTCTGTGTCATATGAGACATCTTTCCCTATCAGTTTAAGACTTAAAATAATGTTGAGATCTGGGAAGAACGATCCAAGATGGCCGATCGCTAACATCCCAGGATTGCAGCTCTCAGGGAAGGCGCTGAGAACTAGAGGACGCCACACTTTCAGACAAATTCTGGTCGCTCACGGAGCACAAGATCCCCCAGTGGAGGAAACACATGGGTGGCCAGCGCGACTCTCGTGGCCGGCGCAGCGGTTCCACCGGCGCGGCAGCTCTCGGAGCAGAGTAAACAGGTTCGGAGGACCGGCACCGGCCCCCAGCACGACACCAGAGCCCGGCTCAGCGGCTGCGACAGTACCTCGGTGCGGCAGCGCTCGGCGCAGAGTAAATGGGACCGGTTCCCCTTCTGACCGAGGTTTGGAGCCCCGGGAAGGCAGAGTCACCTACTACGGACACAAGAAGGAAGCCAGACAGGAGAATCCTGGGCAGAAAAGCACCATCAGTTTTAACGCGGCTGCTCTGGCCCTGGGAACTAACAACCTGGACATCCACTCAAGAGACCTAATCTGAAAGTTGGTAATTTCAAAGACGACAGGAGGATAAATTTACAATGACGGGAAGAAACCAGCGTAAAAAAGCTGAGAATACTTAAAGTCAGAACGCCTCTCCCTCTAAAGATGATCACAGTTCCACATCAACAATGGAACAAGGCTTGATGGAGAACGAGCTCATCCTGATGACAGAATCACTCTTCAAGGAATGGATAATAACAAACTTCGGTGAGTTAAAAGACCATGTTGTAGCCCAACGTAAAGAAACTAGGAACTTTGAAAAAAGGTTTGATGAAATCCTATTGAGAATAGACAACTTAGAGAGGAGTATGAGTGAATTAATGGAACTGAAGAATACAATACAGGAACTCCGAGAAGTATGCACAGGTTTAAATACTCGAATTGTTCAAGCAGAAGGGATATCAGAGGTCAAAGTCCAACTTAATGAAATAAAACGTGAAGAAAAGATTAGAGAAAAAAGGATAAAAAGGAATGAGCAAAGTCTCCAAGAAATGTGGGACTATGTGAAAAGACCAAATTTACATTTGATAGGTGTACCTGAATGCGACGGAGAGAATGAATCCAAGCTGGAAAATACCCTTCAGGATATTATTCAGGAAAATTTTCCTGAACTAGCAAAGCAGGTCAACATTCAACCCCAGGTAATACAGAGAACACCACAAAGATATTCCTCAAGAAGAGCAACCCCAAGGCACATAATCGTTAGATTCACCAGGGTTGAAACGAAGGAGAAAATACTAAGGGCAGCCAGAGAGAAAGGTCAGATTACCCACAAAGGCAAGCCTATCAGACTTACAGCAGATCTCTCAGCAGAAACTCTACAAGCCAGAAGAGAGTGGGGGCCGATATTCAACATCCTCAAAGAACAGAACCTTCAGTCCAGAATTTCATATCCAGCCAAACTAAGCTTCACAACTGAAGGAAAAATAAAATCTTTTATGAACAAGCAAGAACTCAGAGATTTTATTACCACCAGGCCTGCTTTACAAGAGCTTCTGAAAGAAGCATTACACACAGAAAGAAACAAGCAATATTAGCCTTTCTAAAAATACACCAAAAAGTAAAGAGCACCAACATAAAGAAGAATTTACACCAACGAATGGATAAAACAGCCAGTCAACATCAAATGGCAGTAACCCTAAATTTAAATTGACTAAATCCCCCAATCAAAAGACACAGCCAAAACCCAATGGCATGTTACATCCAGACCTGTTTCACATGCAAGGATACACAAAGACTCAAAACAAAGGGATGGAGAAAGATTTACCAACCAAATGGAGAGCAAAAAAAAAAATAAATAAATAAAAAGCAGGAGTTGCAATTCTTGTATCAGATAAAATAGATTTTAAAGCAACAAAGATATAGTGGTAAAAGGATCAATGCAACAAGAGCTAACGATCCTAACGCCCAGATACATAGAGACTTAGACACAATGAGACAGAAAATTAATAAGAATATCAAGGACTCGAACTCAGATCCGGAACAGGTAAACAATAAATATTTATAGAGCTCTCCACTTCAAATACACAAAATATACATTCTTGTCAATACCACATCACACCTACTCATAAGCTTAAATGAAACATTGATTGGCCATCATTAATACCCAATTTTTTTCAAAATAAAGCATTATTTCCATTTACTCTCCCTCTTTCTCTTCCTCTTTCTTCCTCTCCTTTACTTATTTATTTTTTTTTTTCTTTCCTTCTCTCAAAAAAAAGAAATCAACTTGTAAACCTCTAGATCCAGGTCGGCAATGTCTCTCTCATTGCTTGATTTCCTTCCTTCCCTTCCCTCCCTCCCTCCCTCCCTCGCCGCTTCCTCCCTTCCTTCCTTCCTCCCTTCCTTCCTTCCTTCCTTCATCCCTTCCTTCCTCCCTTTCTGCCTTCCTCCCACCCCCCCCCCCAAAAAAAAAATAATGTTGAGATCTGTGCTGGTACGGTAGCCACTAGCCACGTGTGGTTATTGAGTATTTGAAATGTGATTTTTTTGGGCTGGATATGGTGACTCATGCTTATAGTCCCAGCACTTTGGGAGGCTGAGGCAGGCAGATCACTTGAGGTCAGGGGTTTGAGATCAGCCTGGACAACATGGCGAAACCCGCCTCTACTAAAAATATAAAAGAAAAAAAATTTAGTAGGGCGTAGTGGTGCATGCCTGTAATCCCAGCCACTGCAAAGGCTGAGGCAGGAGAATCGCTTGAGCCAAGATCGTGCCACTGCACTCCAGCCCAGGCAACAGAACAAGACTGTCTCAAAAAAAATAAAACAGAAATTTGTTTTTTTCAAATGATATGTATTTAAGTATAAAATACATGTCAGATTTTGAAGACTTGATTTGAAAAAAAAGCATATAAAATAGTAATGTTTAGCATTGTATATGGGCAATATAAAATATATTATTAAAATTAATGCTACTTTTTTTTCTTTAAAAAAATATGGCTACTAGAAAATTTAAATGACATATGTGGTTCACCATTATGGCTTGCGTTATTTTTCTCTTTGGCCATACTGGTCTAGATTGTATGAAGAAGTAGAGTTGCTTTCTTCAGAAATGGTCATAATATAAACCATTTATTTAGTCAGACAAGTTTTAGCACATTAAAAAATGCGTTTATGTACTTGGTTTCTAATGTGGATGTAAACTTATAACCTTTCCATCCTTTGTAGCTATTAATAAAACTAATAACTCAAAATTTATTTTACATTAATTACATTTACAGGATTATTTATAGATAATTGAACCAGAAGACTGAACTGAGAAATAGGCTTCTCCAAGTTCATTGTTGCGATTTTTAGGCAGCCTGTAGAATATCATAAAAATAACAGGTTGTCGTTTAATGCGTCTCCAGAGAAACCATCTTAGTAGCACGTTTTTTTTTTTTCTAGTGTGCCATTTTAAGGAGTTGTTTTATTACTTTAAAGCTTAAAAATTGGCCGGGCACGGTGGCTCACGCCTGTAATCCCAGCACTTTGGGAGGCCACAGCAGGCAGATCACAAAGTCAGGAGTTCAAGACCAGACTGGCCAACATGGCGAAACTCCGTCTTTACTAAAAAATACAAAAATTAGCTGAGCACAGTGGCTTGTGCCTGTAATCCCAGCTGCTTGGGAGGCTGAGGTAGGAGAATTGCTTGAACCACAACCTGGGAAGCAGTTAGCCGAGATCACGCCACTGCACTCCAGCCTGGTTACAGAACAAGACTCCATCTCAAAAAAAAAAATAGTGGGGTATTCTCAGACTTAACAGATGAACAGTGATGTGACTGAATCTTATTTGTATACTTCTCCTCACCCCAAAGCATTTTGAGAAGAAAAAATTCCTCAAATGAATCCCTTCCCATCCATAAACTATTATAACTACCTACATTGCAGACCTCTAGCAAATAATTTTCCAAATAGGAAAATCTTTGTTCTGATCTTTTTTGTTTGTGTTTGCTTGACAGCAATTATAGGAAGGGACATAGTAGTCAGAAAGTATTTCTTTCTCTTCAAGTTCAGTTTACTCCTACCTTTTCTTTTCTCTTCTTTTTTTTTGTGGCCTTTTACTTTCTTTTGAGTTGAGAATGTTAGGTTTTCCACCTCCCATCTCCTTAGAGATATTATTAAGCCCCAAACCTAAACATGAAGTTATACAAGAAGATGCACTTTTCAGTCTTTAAAATTCGTCTTCTTAGCCAGGCAAGGTGGCTCATCCCTATAATCCCAGCACTTTGGGAGGCTGAGGCAGGCGGATTGCCTGAGCTCAGGAGTTAGCAACCAGCCTGGGCAACACGGTGAAACCCCGTCTCTACTAAAATACAAAAAATTAGCTGGGCCTGGCAGTGTGCATCTGTAGTCCCAGCTACTCGGGTGACTGAGGCAGGAGAATCGCTTGAACCAGGGAGGTGGAGGTTGTAGTGAGCTGAGATTGCGTCACTGCATTCTAGCTTGGGTGTCAGAGGGAAACTGTATCTCAAAACAAACAAACAAAATTAGTCTTTTCTCTTTGTCTCACAAACTCAAACTGCTGTGTTTAAAACAGTAAGGAGCTGTCCAAAGAGAAATGTTAGAGGTCTATGTATTTCAGTAATTGTCATCAACTACAATGTTCTTTAGTGAACTAGGACTGAGGTTTTCTGGAGACTATTTGTTTGGGTGGCCATGAACTAAATAATAAACACTGATGTGCCTGGTGCAGTGGCTCGTGTTTATAATCCCGGAACTCTGGGAGGCCAAAGTGGGTGTATCGCTTGAGCACAGGTGTTTGAGACCAGCGTGACCAACATGGTAAAACCCCATCCCTATTAAAAATACAGAAATTAGCCAGGCTTGGTGGCACATGCCTATAGCCCCAGTTACTTGGGAGGCTGAGGCATGAGAATCACTTGAACCTGGGAAGCAGAGGTTGTAGTGAGCTGAGATTGCACCACTGCACTCCAGCCTGGATGACAGTGTAAGACCCTGTCTCCAAAAAAAAAAAAACAAAAACAAAAACAAAAAAAACCATAAAAGATAAATGAAATTAAATTTTTTAAAAATAAAGACGTACATAATTTACCTTGGACATAAAACGGTTAAAAAGAGACTTACATAATTTAAAGTTTTTGTCATCCCTCCCATTTTCAAAATAGAAAATCTTAGGGAAAAGGAAATAAGTAAATGTCTTTTTTTGGCTAATTTGTGTGTTTTTTTCGTGTGTGTGTGTCTGTGTGTGTGTGTGTGTCTGTGTGTGTGTGTGTGTGGTGTATACAGTGGAACATGATCTGGATCAGATTGACTACATAGACAGCTGTACTGCAGAGGAAGAAGAGGACGAGGTGAGACAGCCCAAGGGACCGGACTCAGACAGCCTTAGTTCACAGTTTATGGCATATATTGAACAGCGGCGAATCTCTCATGAGGTAGTACATAGATTTAAGCCTAAATATGTTGCCATTCCTTGGCAAAAATAATTCATAGTAGTATAAAATTCTGTTACATCAGTGATTTTTTGACGTAAGCCTAATTGTCTTCATTATATTTACTTCTACTTTCAGTACTGAATTTTTCAGATTTATTCAGAAAAATCAGACAGTAGTCTCAAGTAGACTTTAGGTTTATTTTTCAAACAAGACAACCAGAATTTTGCAGAAGGAATAAAAAAAAGTGTAAGTACTGTCAGGCCTTCGAAGAAAATACAAAGGAAAATACAGTGATGCTTTTCATTGTTGTTTTATTGCTTTTTTATTTTTACTAACTGATAAATCATAGTTTGGTCAGTAATTAATTAACAGTTAAACCAAAAAAATTGACTTTTGTGGTAACATGGAACTTAACCATAGAATTTTTATAATATGCTGAATTATATTGGAGCTTTTGTGCTAAGTCACACAGAATATAAATTATTTGCTATTAAAATTCTTGGGTATCTCTTAAGTGGAGCATTGAATTGCCTTAGAAAACAAATGTGCATTCAGCCCACTACAGAATCTTTGCCAATTCTCCAAGGGTCTCAAATAGAATAGCATTCTTCAGTCTATCTTGTCAGCATAATAAAATGGCTTCACTTTAGTGGATGTGATGTTGATGTCTGGAGTTGGTTTCAGACTCTGGGCAGTGGTTATTTGAGAAACACTTGGGTCCTTTTAAGAGAATGATGTGTTAGCCTTTTAGAAATAGAGAATAACCTCTTTGGTCTGAGAAAGCTAAAAGGAAAAAAAAAAAAAAGAAATAGAGAATAATCATTTCAAGTAGGACGTGTAGTAGAGTATTATTCTTCATTTAATGAGACAGAGTCTCACTCGGTCACCCAGGCTGGAGTGCAATGGCATAATCTCAGCTCACTGTAGCCTCTGCCTCCTGGGTTCAAGCGATTCTCCTGCCTCAGCCTCCTGAGTAGCTGGGATGACAAGCATGCGCCACCATGCCTGACTAATTTTTGTATTTTTAGTAGTGATAGGATTTCACCATGTTGGCCAGGCTGGTATTGGACTCCTAAGCTCAGGTGATCTGCCGGCCTTGGCCTCCCAAAGTGCTGGGATTATATGTGTGAGCTGCTATGCCCATCCAATATTACCATTCTTTAAAAAAAAAAAAGAAAGAAGGGGCTTTGGTCTTTCTATCTGAATACTTTTGAATACAGTATTTTTTGTTGGCATTCAGAAGACATTTTTGTATTTAAAGTTGGGTAAACTTATATAAATCAAAGACCTATAGCCCAGAGATAGCAGTGTACCAAGTGATTGATGAAACTACTTCTTATTCAGGCTGTGAGCCTCCCTGCTGGAGCAAAGGGCAACTATTTTGCAATAAAATTAAAATTAACAATGACATATTATAATCCTTCAAGGAATCCATTTTCTTTTCTCTTGGTCTTTCTCTTTGATCGTGTTACAGTTACTTAGGCTGTATAAATGGAGTATCTCTACTAACAGTGACAATGCCTATTGTACTATGAAAAATAATAATGTTTCTTTAATTCATTATGTTGTCTCTTTTGTAATAATGTTTTTTAAATTCTGTCTGCCTGTTAGTATGGTAGTCTTTATGACTTCTTTGTCATAAAGCTTTCATAAAATTTAGCATCTTTGAAAATACGATGAGGCAATGTTATTTTAAATGGTTTAACAACCAGTGAAGAAATATCTTTTTTCTACCTGAACACTATCTAAAAATGGATTATTAAAAACTAACCTATGTGAGATTTTAAACACTATTATTTAATTTTATTATAATACTTGTCACATACATAGAGTATTTCTCCTGAATAGGGTATGATTTTTTTTTTAATTAAGCCAGTATGAAATTTTTTGTCATGAAAATTTCATGGGCCTCTTAGAATAATTTTAGATAATTGCAGTATCATAAAACTAGGATGGGGCTGGATGCAGTGACTCATGCCTGTAATCCTAGCACCATGGGAGGCTGAAGCAGGCAGATCACATGAGGTCAGGAGTTAGAGAACAGACTGGCCAACATGGCGAAACCCCTTCTCTACTAAAAATACAAAAAAACCTAACTTAGTTGGGCGTCATGGCGCCTGCCTGTAATCCCAGCTACTCAGGAGACTGAGACATGAGAATTGCTTGAACCTGGGCAGCAGACGTTGCAGTGAACAAAGATTGTGCCACTGCACTCCAGCCTGGGTGACAGAGCAAGATTCCGTATCAAAAAAAAAAGAAAAAAGAAAAAAACAACAAGCTAGGATAGTAAGGGTAAGTCACTGATATAACATCCTAGTTTTTTTTTTTTTTAATGGCACAGCTTGGCATGGTGGCTCATTCCTATAATCTCACCTACTTGGGAGGCTGAGGTAGCAAGATTGTTTGAGTCCAGCCTGAGCAACATAGTGAGACTCTGTCTCTAAATAAACAATAATTTAAAAATGGTATATTCACTAAAATTAGAAAAATTATTTTCACATTGGAGTTGCAGAATTGTAGTTTATTCTATGGGATCTCATGTCCAGACCTTAAGATAGTTGTTAACCCTTTGGAGTAACTCACAAAAAGTTTCTAGTTACATGGGATATGCCTTTTTCTTGGAGGTAGGTGATAGGTACTTTTATGTTTGATTTATAGATATCCTTTTTGGAAAAGTTATTTTCTTATTTTCCCCTTGATGAGTAACCATTTCAATGATTATTTTTGGTGTTGAAACAAGATTGTATTGCTTCTGTAGATTTTTCCTTTGATAACCGTTAATCCTCTACCTTTGATTTATGATTTTATATTTCAGTGTGTGGTCTGTATTTTAAACCAGTTTAATTTTTCCCAGTAATACTTTTTGAAAATGACATTTTACTTTTCAGTTCGTAAAGAAGTAAAATTGCCAATAATATTTTCCTTTTAAATATGGTATTTTATCATAAATAAAAATTACTTTTGGTTTTATCTTGGTATTTCACCAACACACTCAAGAATATTTGTATGAGTATGATAAGAGACAATTTGTTATGATGGATAAATAAAGAAATGTAATATGCCCAGTGAACTTGCTATTACTGGAAATACTCAAGAGTAACTGAGCTAAAGCCAGGGTAGGGTAGATGGGAATTCCTGTCCTAAACGGGAGTCTGTACTGGTGACCTATTCAGTTCCTTTCCAGTTGTAACATCTTATTATTCAGTACATGTCACTGTGCTTGGTCGCCTTAATTTATATAATACAGTAAGAAGAAAATCTACTTTCTTGTAAAATAAAGTAAGTATTTTTGGATTATCAACATTTTTGTTTATCAGAGCAGCAGTGTATATATGATGCTTTAAAACTTAAAGTTTACATCTGAAGAGTCTATTAAAATATTTTTAGTGTAAAATACAGATTAAATGACACATGTGAACTGTGTAATCACAGTTTTCTGGATTAATATATTAAATTTATTTATTTCTGTCCTTTGTCCTAGGGTTCACCAATAAAGCCGGTAGCCATTAGGGAATTTCAAAAAACAGAAGATATGAGAAGATATTTACATCAAAACAGGTTTGAAAAACCAATTCTGCTTAATTTGTTTCTGTCTTGATGAGAGCAAAAAGTACTTTCGGTTTTATGCAGATCTAAATATAATAAAGATGTTTAGATACTATATGTTTTAGATAGCTTGTGTTTAGAACTGACAGTATGCTTTTTACTCATGCTGTAGAAAAGGTGAGAATCGATTTGTTTCTAAATTCAGACCATCTAAATCATTACCTACACGGTTAATTGATTTGAAGATACTTGGTAGCAGTGAGATTTTTGTGGTGATGATGTATGGATTCATGCATAAAGAGAGCTAAAAGAATTTCAGGACTAGGCCTGGTGGCTAACACTTGCAATGTCAACACTTTGGGAGGCCAAGGTGGGAGGCTTGCTTGAGCCCAGGAGTTTGAGACCTGTCTGAGCATCATGGATTATGGCAAGACCTGTCATGATCTACTCATTTACAAAAAAAAAAAAAGGCCTAGGATGGTGGTGCACGCCTCTGGTCTCAGCAACTCAAGAGGCTGAGGTGGGAGGATCGCTTGAGCTGGGAGGTCAAGGTTGCAGTGAACCCAGTTTGCGCCATTGCACTCTGACCTGGGCATCAGTGAGACACTGTCTCAAAAAAAAAAAAAAAAATCCCGAATTTCAGTAGTCCTAATTTTTTTAACTTATGTTTTTTACTAGATAACAGAGAGATAGTCAGAAACAGTGATATGTATCACCAGTCCTGTCTCAATTAATATGATTTTTCCACTTTACTTGGTGCCTCAGAAATATTTTGAAAATTAGGCCCAGCACAGTGGCTCTGGCCAACATGGTGAAACCCCATCTCTACTAAAAATACAAACATTAGCCAGGTATGGTGGCACACCCCTATAATTCCAGCTACTTGGGAGGCTGGCAGAAGAATCGCTTGGACCCGGGAGGTGAAGGTTGCAGTGAGCTAATACCACGCTGCTGTACTCCAGAGTGGGTGGCAGAGTGAGACTCCATCTCAAAAAAACAAAGAATATTTTGAAAATTAGCTTGATCATTTAGAGCACTGTTTCTCGTTCTTGAATTCCAGAATGTTTCTTGCCATGAACTATTTCGCAGTAGTTGAAAATTTCAGCCTTTAGTTCTTTGCCTTCTGTGTTTATGAAGTCATAAAACATAGTCTTGATGTACCTATTCTTAAGTGACAGTAAATTTATGTAGTTCTTATACTTGAGAAGGTATTAAAAGTTAACTTGGGGACTGAGATATAGATGGAATAAATACATAGGGAGAAAAAAGAAAGAAATCTCATAACTTTGCCATTTATACTCTTATCACTCACTTCATGGAGATTTAGTTAAGTTTTATATGCTTTGAAATTTATTTCAGAATGTTTTTTCAGTTGCCGTGTATCCTTATATTGAGAGTATAGTCTTTTGAGATTCCAGTTTTATGCAGGAGTTTCCAGTTACATTCCCCACCTTGAGTGGGCCTGCATTTTATAGCTCCCGTCCCTCTCACATCCTGCATCCATTATAGGTGAAGCTCAAGATCTCCAGGATTTAGTAGAAACTCTCAAGGTAAAAGCTAGCTTCTTCACTCAGTTACCTTATGTATTAGTTTCCTGTTGCTTTTGTTACAGTTAGCAGTTTAGAACAACAACTATTTATTGTATCACACTTCTGTAGGATAGAGCCTGGGCAGGCTCCCCTGGGTCTCTACTTACAGGTCAAAGTCAGGGTATTGGCTGGCCTGGACTCTCATTCGAAGACTGTGGAGGAGAATTCACTTTCATGCTCCGACATGTTGGCAGAATTCAGATTGTTGCAGTTAGGACTGAGGTCCCCATTATTTTCCTGGCTGCCAGCTGGTGGTCATTCTTGGTGTTTAGAGTCCACCCACATTCCTTGTTCATGGTCCTCTCCATCTTCAAATCAGGAATGACAGGTCAAATCCTCCTTATATGTGGAATCTTTCTTACTTCCCCTTTCTGCCACATGTCATGAATTCTTTTGCTTTTAAGGGTTCCTAATTATATTAAGTCAGCCTGGATAATCTCCCCATTTTAAGGTCAGCTGATCAGTAACCTTAATTTCACCTGTAAAATGTTTTTTTGTTTTTTTTCAGTGTAATACAACATATTGACTAGAGTAAGGCCAGGGACAAGAGGTTATGGAAGCCAAAAGTCTGCTACTGCATCTTAGTCCAGAGTTCCTGTTTTTACTTCTTTTTTAAAGTCTGTGGGTTCTTTATTTTTATAGCACCTTAGCGGTACATTTTAAAAGATCGTTTTATTCAGCATTTTGGTGATTTCCATTGGAAGAGTCACTCAGGGTATTTAGTCTGCCACAGTGCTAGACACTGAAGCTGGGGTTCCATTTTTTGTTTTGTTTTGTTTTGTTTTGTTTTGTTTTGTGACAGGGTCTTGCTCTGTTGCCCAGGCTGGAGTGCAGTGATGTGATCACAGCTCACTGTAGCCTCAACCTCCCAGGCTCAACCAATCCTCCCACCTCAGCCTCTGAAGTAGCTGCAACTTCAGGCATGTGCTATATGCTTAGCAAATTTTTTGATTTTTTGTTATTTTTCGTAGCGATAAAATCTCACTATTTCCCTGGCTGGTCTCAGACTCCTGAACTAAAATACTAACCCTCCCACTTTGGCTTCCCAAAGTGCTGGGATTACAGGTGTGAATCACTGCACCCAGCCATGATTACTGTTTAATTGGGGGTTCCATAGTACCAGACCTTAGTACAGTCCTTGGATAAGAACTCCATACTTGATCTCAGTAACCAGTTATGCTCTGAGATCAATATATCCTTCATGTTTTTAATTAGGAGGTATTTGTTAAATACTATGTGCCAAGTTCTTTTCCAGATGTTGCAATACAGCTATGAACTGTAGTCAAAATTCCTGCCCTCCTGGAGCTTACATTCAAGTAGAATGTTGAATTAGAACCTAGCAAGATGAAATCACTTCAGAATGACTGGCAGCTCTCAGACTAGGTAGACTTGTCTCTAACCTGAAAAATGTAAACAAAAAGAATCTATCACAACAGTCTGTCAGTTACAAGAACTCAAAAAAACTGATGAACGTAAGGAACCCTCTGCCAGTGAGCTGAAAAAGAAAGCTTACTTACCTCTTTTCTCCCAAATCTCTTCCCCTACCCTCATTCACCTTGCAAATTTCTTCCCACCTACCACTCCCCTACCCCCTATCCACACAGTCTACTCTACTAGAAGATAATAAACATAGGGAGATATAATGAACCAAAAGTGTGAATGCTTTGTAGAATTTGCCAAGATAGATTATGTAACTTTGAAATTGAAACTAGCAAAAATTGCATTTTAAAAAAATTATTATAATTTTTTATGGGCTGGGCATTGTGGCTCACATTTGTAATCCCAGCACTTTGGGAGGCTGAGGTGGGCAGATCACCTGAGGCCAGGAGTTTCAGACCAGCCTGGCCAACCTGGTGGCCAAACCCATCTCTACTAAAACTACAAAAATTAGCCAGGTATGGTAGCTCACACCTGTAGTCACAGCTACCCAGGAGGCTGAGGCAAGAGAATCGCTTGAACCCGGGAGGTGGAAGTTGCAGCGAGTCGAGATTGTACAACTGCATTCCAGCCTGGGTGACAGAGCAAGAATCTGTCTCAAAAAAAAAAAAAAAAAAAAAAAAAAAAAATTATGGGCTCTAGTTATAATCTGAATAGCATTTTAGTTCAGGAGAGATGATAATATCAGACTAGGTTCTGTAAAGCTTGTTAATTTCCATAAGAAGCAGTACAGAATTGACATTTAGATAAAACCTAGAAGTTTTTAAATTTCATGTTATATAGATAAAGTCAGAAAAGCTACTCACATTAATTATATGATTTTATAAACAAAGAAAAACAGAGAAGGCACTTCAGAGTCTGCCTTATACTGGCTGGGTGCAGTGGCTCACGCCTGTAGTCTCAGCATTTTGGGAGGCCAAGGTGGGTGGATCACCCAAGATCAGGAGTTCAAGACCAGCCTGGCCAACATGGTGAAACCTCATCTCTACTAAAAATATGAAACATTAGTTGGGCATGGTGGTATGCACCTGTAATCCCAGCTACTTGGGAGGCGGAGGCAGGAGAATTGCTTGAATTTGGGAGGCTGGGGCAGGAGAATTGCTTGAACCTGGGAGGCAGAGGCTGCAGTAAGCCGAGATCATGCCACTGCCCTCCAGCCTGGGCAACAGAGAGAGACTCTGTTTCAAAAAAAAAAAAAAAAAAGAAGGAAGTCTGCCTTATAAAGGTCTGGTTTACTTAGCCCAAGTAAGTTCAAGATTTAAAGGAGATACATAGGTGTCACCTGTATTTTTGTTTTTCATGTCTCAATATTCCACGCTTTTTCAGGGGAGGGTGCTGCTGTCATTCATTCAAGCAATATTAAGCACTATAGTGGTTCTGTCTCTGTTCAAAATCCCTGATATTTTAGAGTTACTTTTTAGTGGATGTAGACAAATATATGTCACAACATATTGACTGCTGTGTTTCAGGTACTGCTAGGTGCTGTGAAGAAAAATGAAGCAGGATAAAAGAGATGGTACGGTGAGGGAAGAGTGAAAGTAATGTTATATGCAGTGATAATATTTCAGTAGAAACCTGAAAAAGAGAGAGCAAACATGGTAGTCTAGGAGACAAACATTCTAGGTAGAGGTTCTGAGGTACCTACACACTTTTGGTATATTCAAGAGACACCCAGGAGTCTGAGTAGAGCAGGACAAATACGGGATGTGAAATGGGAGTTCAGCTGTGGTTATGTTCTATTTCAGGTACCTACAAGACATCCAAGTGGAAGTATCAAGTAAGCAGTTAGATGTACGAGTTTGGAGTAAAGTGGCAAGAATTAGGGCTTGAACAACCAAAAAAAGAAACAGCAGGGTTGGTCATGGGGATAGGAGAAAGAAGATGGTGTCCCAGAGGCTAAATGAAAACTGTGTTTTTGAGACTGTCTCACTGTGTCACCCAGGCTGGAGTGGAGTGGTGTCATCATAGCCCATAAGCAGCCTCGATCTCCTGGATTCAAGTGATCATCCCACCTTGGCATTCCAAAATGCTGGGATTAAAAACATGAGCCATTGTGCCTAGCCTTGAAAACAGTGTTTGAAGAAGTATGGAGAGGAATGAACAACATCATTTACTGCTGATAGGTTTTTGTTGTTGTTGTTGTTGTTGTTTTGGTAGATGGAGTCTTGTTCTGTCGCTGGGCTTGGATGCGGTGGCAAGATCTTGGCTCACTACAACCTCTGCCTATGAGGTTCATGCAATTCCTCTGCCTTAGCCTCCAAGTAGCTGGGACTACAGAAACGTGCCACCACACCAGGCTAATTTTTTTTTTTTTTTTTAGTAGACAGGGTTTCACCATGTTGACTAGGATGGTCTCAATCTCCTGACCTTGTGATCCGCCTGTCACTACTAAAAATACAAAAACTAGCCAGGCATGGTGGCACATGTCTGTAATCCTAGCTATTCAGGAGGCTGAGGTGGAAGAATCACTTGAACCCAGGAGGTGGAGGTTTCAGTGAGCCAAAATCGTGCCGCTGCACTATAGCCAGGGTGACAGGGCGAGACTCAGTCTCAAAAAAAAAAAAGATTAAAAAGCATTGTTAAAATATAGTGTTAAAGTCAGGGCACATAAACACACTTGAGATGGTTTATTTGGTCCTTTCTGTGTTTTGATTCAGTTTATCCACAGGTGGTCACTAAAAGCTATAAGAAATTTTAACAGTGAAATTAGTAATCTAAGGAGAAAGTTGCAGTTAATTCCTGTTACTCTAAATGTGTAATCAGGGCAGGGTGCAGTGGCCCACACCTGTAATCCCAGTACTCTGGGAGGACAAGGTGGGTGGATTACTGGAATACAGGAGTTTGAGGGCAACCTGGGCAACATAAGCAAAACCCTGTCTTAAAAATAAGCCTGGGTTGGTTGATACATGCCTGTAGGCTAGTTACTTGAAAGGTGAGTTGGGATTACCACCTGAGGCCAGGAGGTTGAGTCTGCAGTGATCCATGATCACGCCATTGCACTCCAGCTTGGGCAACAGTATGAGGCTGGGTGCAGTGGGTCACACGCCTGTAATCCAAGTACTTTGGGAGGCTGAGTTGGGAGGATGGCTTGACACCAGGAGTTTGAGACCAGCCTGGGCAGCATACTAAGACCCCCATCTCTACAGAAAAAAAACTTTTTTTTTTTTTTTAGACAGTGTCTCACTCTGTTGCCAGGCACCAGGCTGGAGTGCGGTGGCGTGATCTCGGCTCACTGCAGCCTCTGCCTCCTGAGTTCAAGCTATTTCCTGCCTCAACGTCCCAAGTAGCTGGGACTACAGGCACACGCCACCATGCCCAGCTTACAAAACAATTTTTTAAAAAAATAGCTGGGTATGATGGCTTGAGTCTGGGAGGTCAAGACTGCAGTGATGAGCCATGATCATGAGATTTTGTTTTTGTTCTCCTAATATCACACGGATTTCAGTGCATTTAGATCAGCCTGATAGGTTAATCATCATAGTTTCAGAGGCCAGGTCCTAAACGTCAGAAAGTCACTACTCTTGTGAGTTTTAGTTTCAGACACAATGGTGAGTTACAGAGACTTGAAAAATGAAATCTGTTTCAGGAAAAAGATAAATAGTAAACTATAAGAATTAACATTGCTGGCAGGGCACAGTGGCTCGAGCCTGTAATCCCAGCACTTTGGGAGGCCGAGGCGGGTGGATCACGAGGTTAAGAGATCGAGACCATCCTGGTCAACATGGTGAAACCCTGTCTCTACTAAAAAATACAAAAAATTAGCTGGGCATGGTGGTGCGTGCCTGTAATCCCAGCTACTCAGGAGGCTGAGGCAGGAGAATTGCCTGAACCCAGGAGGCGGAGGTTGCAGTGAGCTGAGATTGCACCATTGCACTCCAGCCTGGGTAACTAGAGCGAAACTCCGTCTCAAAAAAAAAAAGGGGGGGTTTCTTATTTTTCTTAAAAATAAAAAAACCAGAATCGTTATTTCATGTTAAAATTGCTTCATCAATTGAAAATAAGAGCTTTACAAGTACAGTTATCAGGTTCTGTGGTATTCTAGATTTCTGTTGATAAAATGACTTTACGTGTAAAAAGATCTCAATTTACATGTATCTTGTTTTAATTGTGGTGGTAAAGATAATAGTTACTTGTGTTATAAAGAAATAATACTCTTTGAAAGTGATACCCACTGTAGTGTTGGTATTGGCTGACATAGACAGTTGGTAGCTAGCTGTAGATTAATCAGTGATATCACATGAAACCTGAGTTGGAGACATCAGATGTTCCTGTGGTTTAACTTAATGACTTGGGCTCAGGTTTACTAAATGCAGCTACTCCTTCAGTGCTAACTAGGCAGTTTACTACTGATAGAAAGCTACATTTATAAGAAAAATTTCATTTGTTTTTTGTATGTCTGTTTGTCTTGTTATCAAAGAGTTTCTTTTTTCTTTTTGGGTCAGGGTTCCAGTTGAGCCATCTTCTCTCTTGTCACTATCACCAAGTCACAATCAGGTAATTTTTAGTAGTTGTGTTTGTTTTTTAAACTAAGATGATTTTTTTCCTAATGCTTAAATTGTCATTAATTGCCAGATTATTTAAACTTTATTACCTGTCTCCTCAGTCAATTAATATAACATTTGTACATGATACTTTCTCGTGTTTTTAGCCACTAGACAGAAAATCTTTACCTTCGTGATGGCTTTAATAGTATTAGGTTGATGCAAAAGCAATTGCGGTTTCTGCATTGAAAGTGATGGCAGAAACTGCAGTTACTTTTGCACCAACGTAATATATGTAAGAACAATGCGGCCGGGCGCAGTGGCTCACACCTGTAATCCCACCACTTTGGGAGGCCGAGGTGGGTGGATCATGAGGTCAGGAGATTGAAACCATCCTGGCCAACATGGTGAAACCCCAGCTCTACTAAAAATACAATTAGCCCGGTGTGGTGGCATGCGCCTGTAGTCCCAGCTACTCAGGAGGCTGAAACAGGAGAATCACTTGAACCCGGGAGGCAGAGGCTGCAGTGAGCCGAGATCGCGCCACAGCACTCCAGCCTGGGCAACAGAGCGAGACTCTGTCAGAAAAGAAAAAAAAAAAAAGAGACATGCAAAGATGGGAAAAGATTAGCAATAAACACATTTAAAGAAATGCTAGGACTGGGCATGGTGGCTCACGCCTGTAATCCCAGCACTTTGGGAAGCCGAGGCAGACAGATCACTTGAGGTTGTGGGTTTGAGACCAGCCTGACCAACACGAAGAAACCCCCATCTCTACTAAAAAGTACAAAATTAGCCCAGCATGGTGGCACATGCCTGTAATCCCAGATACTCGGGAGACTGAGGCAGGAGAATTGCTTGAACCTGGGAGGCGGAGGTTGTGGTGAGCCGAGATCGCGCCATTGCACTCCCAACTGGGCAACAAGAGCAAAACTCCGTCTCACAAAAAAAGGAAAAGAAATGCTAGGTGATTTCAAAGTAAAAGTTGCATGGGTCAACAGTAGTTTAAATGGATAGGAAATACTCCTGATAAGGCGCATCTTATTTTTAGTTTAATATGCACAATAATGCTTTGGTTCCAGCTGTCACATACAGACTTGGAGCTTCATCGGAGAAGAGAACAGTTAGTAGAGCGCACTCGGAGAGAGGCACAGCTTGCTGCCCTGCAATATGAGGAGGAGAAAATAAGGACCAGGCAGATCCAGAGAGATGCCGTCCTGGACTTTGTCAAAGTGAGTCCCTTTTAATGGTACTGTTACAGTTACTTCGAGGTCAAGGGCTTGTTTGGTGAAACCTGTTGGTTTTTATTGTCAATTAAAATGTCAACTTTTTTTCTCTCTAAAAGGAATCTTGACTAAATAAAGTGACTGTCTCTTTTACTTGTGTCTGTCTGTATGAGGACAATAGAAGTGATTATCTTTTATTTTATTTTTTTCAAAGATGGGATTTCACCATGATGGCCAGGCTGGTCTTGAACTACTGACCTCAGGTGATCCACCCACCTCAGCCTCCCAAAGTGCTAGGATTACAGATGTGAGCCACCACACCCAGCGAAGTGATTAGCTTTTTAAGAGATTGCAGTGAGCTGAGATTGCACCACTGCACTCCAGCCTGGTCGACAGAGTGAGACTCCGTCTCAAAAAAAAAAAAACAAAACTGAAATACTTTATACACAGTCATATACAATATGAACACATTGTAAAGCAGGGACTATATACCAGTGCTATGATGTTATTATTAGACATAACAAATTGAAGAAAATAGCCAGTTCGTATGGGACATTTTGAGTTTGTCTTTGAATATGTCAAATATGGGGTGGAGCGGGGTTTCTAAGTAGAGTTTCCATAGACAGTTGAAAATACAAACCTGAGATTTGCTTATAGATAAAGTTAGTAGCATTAGAGTGATAACTGAAGCCATTAGAGGGAAAGAGTAAGTTCATTGAGAGAATATAGTAAGAGATATGTGTTTATGCAGGTATATATATAGTTTTTAAAATTTCTAACCTAACATGTTCTAACTAGTAATCTAGAAAAATTCTGTATAGAAGAGATAAAGAATTAATGTGAGTGATTATTTTAGTAAATATAATTGTTATTTTCGTGTACCAGACTCTAACCAACTTCCCTTTTTGGGGGGTTTTGGGGTTATATAGCAAAAAGCATCACAAAGTCCACAAAAACAGCAGCCCCTCTTAGATAATGAGGTAAGTTGATGTAATCACCTTTTCTTTGGAATTGATTATTTTTGCAATGGAAATAAAATGTTTACATGTGATTATCATGTTTTCAGTGATCAGAATATTGCCATTTTTCCTTTTCCGTCCTCACAAAATTCTACTTATGATGGAGAAGATACAAGCCAAGGAGTATATTAGAATCCATAGATTGAGGCTTTTTTTCAGCTATACATATCCATCTAGAGATTATATTTTCCTCCCTGACCCCCACCAGAGGCATCATCCCCCTTTCCTCCATATTTGAAGCATGGTGTGTAGAGTTCTGGCACAGATAAATGGAGTGTATATTAAACATGAAAAAGACTCTTAGATACTATTTCAGCTTCAGAGTTACCAATTATAACATTCATTTTATAATATCAAATAGTACATTTTCATTACAGATTAACATAAAATTAATCACTTAACCTTTTAAAGATCTACGTGTCTATTTTGATCTGTTAAAGTGAAGCTTACTAAATGTTTTTATAGTAGTTGGCTTTCTCATTAACCATTTTCCCTTTATCTTTACCTTCCAGTTTTTCCAGTTTATGATCATTACCTCCTTGAAAAATGCATAAAAGCATTATTTCTTGTGAATTTTGATTTTTCTTTTTATAAAATAAGATATTTGAAAACCTAACACATGGGGCTTTACAAGCAACAGTTTTCAGTGCAGTGTTTTTAAAGCACAAGTGTTTCTCTTATGGGAAGTGCATTGTTTGAAAGTTTTTCACTTGTCCATTATAAAGGGTTTTTAACAATTGTATCAGACATAACTATTTTTTATATATACAAATACTATGTATTTTTATAATACCTGAAAGATTGACTCAAACATCTTCACTTGTCTTTTCTTTACTTGGTAGTAATTCTAACAAATTTTTGACAATCAAAGTTTGATAAATTTAATATATTTTTTCTTTTTTACTCTGGTGTTTCCTTCTTGATGATTGTTTTCAAATAATTCATTCTCAAGAAAACTAAAGCTCCACAGGAAAATAAAATATCTAGTTCTGAAAATTGTAACTGTACTTTTCATTTTGTTTGAGAAAGAAAATGAAGACATACTTAGACTAGGAATCATGACTCTTGGGCTTCTTGTTTGTTGCTGGCTTACTAAATGACTACAAATTCTTTATGTTATTGTTACATCTCTCTCCAGCTTTCTGTTCCCTCCTTGCTTTGGAAGGCTTTAGGCAATAAGATCATATTTGAAGTTGTTTAAACTCCGGGAGAACATCAGTACTCAGAACCAACTTATTGACTATTATAATGCATGAATTCCAGATGATTGTGAATGTGGTCCTCTATGTCAGCCTCTTCAAAAGTGTGTCTTAGTATGTCTCTTTTTTTGTGTATTTGTGAAAATGTCACACGTGTGCGTAGTTTGTTTTTGACATTGCTTCGTTTTTCTCCACCTCTCCAGTGCCCCTTCCCATCCAGAAGGTCTCAGCACACTGACGATAGTGCCTTGTTAGTGGTAAGAGTTTTGCGCAAGATGGAGTTTTACATTTCTGTGTTTGGAGATTAAAGAATAGCTCTTGTACTATTCAGAAACTATCTAAATACCATAAAACATGATGAGCATCATTACTAAATGCTTTATAAATAACTAAACCATTTTTCTACATTACCATTTGTGGTTTACCCAGTGTTTCAGATTCTGCAGCTCATATCTTTGTCAGTGCCTCCAAAAGTAAAATTGCATTGCAAGCCATATTGGCCTTATATGTGTGCTGGGAACAGTGACATATCATAATACTCATTTAAAAAATATTTATAATTCCAGGAGCACTTACTTTATTAATCATGAATTTGGCTCATGGGCCACCTATATGTTAGGTGGAGTCCATTACCTCATGACACTGATTGCGCAACTGTATATTTGGCATCCTATTTTATTATGCATTTTAAGCTACTGAATATCCTTAACTTTGGTTTTAAATACTTATATCTCAATATTATTTCTTCATGTTCATTTTGTTAAACTCAAGAAAACATTTACTACTGATCATTTTTAACACTGGTTTACTTTTACTTCCTGTTTCATCAGTGGAAAATGAGTGTAAGATGGAAGATTTATTTAAAGTCTTAATTTTATTAACCTTGCGAAAGAATTTGAACCATTTATAGAATTTCTTTCCCCATCATGTTTTATGCTATTTTTTTCATAGTAGTGCGATTCAGAATTCTAGTGTCTACAGCAGTTCTGTCTCATGTGCTAGTAACTGCTGCCACTGCGCATACTGTTGCATCGCTTGCATGCTTCAGCATGAGATTCCTATTATATAAACTTTCATGGTCTGTTAAAATTTCTGTGTACTCTGCAATCTTCATTTCCTTTGAGATGGATAAAGTGCCTTTTAACTGGGCAATCTTATAGATGAATGCAATCATCAGACTCTAGAGTTTTAATGGAAGTGAATTGGCATAAGAAGCAAATAATAATTTAAATTAATGTAGAAAAATATTGAGAGCCTCAGATGATCCGGACAATTAGCAAAATTATCTCATTTACTCTTCATAGCAACTTTAAGAGTTAAGGTTAAACTTACCACCTTTTTATAAGTGATTGATTGCTGAGGCACAGAATATCATGTCCAGAATGTGACTTGTCCAAGGTCACATAGCTAGTAAGTGCAAGGCTGGAAATCCATATCTATCTGGCTGATGTGAGAACCTGCATTAAACACCATGCTGTACTGCTTCCCATGCTGTGATTGAAAACAGTTTAGGAAACTGAAGATTTAATAACACATATAGTAAGTGATATAAGTCTGAGTGCCAAGACTTTTTTGTCAAGGAAACAGTGGAATTTAGAAAAACAACAACAGCAAAATCCCCTTAGAGTGAAGTTTTAAATTCCCTTCAGCCATTTGTCAGAACACATTCACTTATGTTTCAGTTATTAGTATTCATACCTGATCCTCCAAATTAGATGGTATTTAAAAGCAAGGAATTTCTTCTAAGTCCAATGACCTTTTTTTTGAGACGGAGTCTCACTCTTCCGTCCAGGCTGGAGTGCAGTGACACAGTCTTGGCTCACTGCAACTTCCATCTCCTGGGTTCAAGCGATTCTCCTGCCTCAACCTTCTAAGAAGTTGGGATTACAGGCACGTGTCACCATGCCCAGCTTTTTTGTGTTTTTAGTAGAGACAGGGTTTCCATGTTGGTCAGGCTGGTCTTGAACTCCTGACCTCAGGTGATCCCCCCACCTCAGCCTCCCAAAGTGCTGGGATGACAGGCATGAGCCACCGCACCCGGCCCCCACATCTCACATTTCTTGGTATGACAAATAAATGTGTAACCAACACTGCAGAAAGAGTCATATTTTACATAAAACCTTATATTATCAAAACTATGCTTCAGAAGGCTTCATACTGCTCTTAGAGTAATCAAAACATGGCCTAGAAGCTTCTTCTTGCTCTGTCTACTGTCACCTCTCCATGCTTCAGAAGGCTTTATGTTGCTCTTAGAATGAAATAGAAACGTGGCCTAGAAGTTCCTTCTTGCTCTGTCTACTGTCTCCCTCTCCAGTTTCATCTCTGGGCTTATGCTATACCAGCATTTTTTCAGCTCTTCCAATATAAGAAGCCCTTTCCCACCTCAGTCCTTTGCAAATGCTATTCCTTTTACATAGAATGCCTTTCCTTCACTGCATATACCCCTTGATTAATTCCTATTCATCTATCAGGTATTTGTTTAAATGTCACATCTTTAACATGGCTTCTCTGCATCCCACTACCCTTAAATCAGCCCACAGTTTATTGACAGTTAAATAAATTGACAGGAGTTCCAGTACATTTGATGAAAAGGAGGCCCAGGAAGTATAGTTCATTACTGTTGTCACAGTAATTTTTTTATCATAGTATGTTTTTTATTTTTATTTTATTTTTAATTTAATTTTTTATTTTATTTATTTATTTATTTATTTTTGGACAGGGTCTCCGTCTGTTGTCCAGGCTAGAGTGCAGTGGCACGAACATGGCTCCTTGAGGCCTCAATCTCCTGGGCTCAAGTGATCCTTTTCCATCAGCCTCCCGAGTAGCTGGGACTACAGGTGCATGCACCACAGGTGGCTAGTTTTTAAAAAAAATCTTTTGTACAGACAGGGTCTCACTGTGTTGTCCAGGCTGGTCTCTTACTACTGGGCTTAAGCAGTCCTCCTGTCCCAGCCTCCCAAAGTGCTGGCATGAGCCACCATGCCCAACTTGTTTATTCTTTTATTGTCTCTTTTCTATTAGACCACTAGACTATAAGCTTCATGAGCACACGGATATTCTATTTTGTATTAATATGCCTTAATATACTTCATCTTTACCACAGTTCCTGGAATATATTAGGTGCTCAATAAATATTTCTTGAATGGACACATAAGTTCTGTGCATCTACTGATTATTAAACAGTTTCATGATGAAAAGGTCTGATGATATGGTAAGGTGAATGTTTAATTTGATTTAAAGACCTTGAAACATAGGATTTGAAATACAAATTTCTAACAGCTAATACCTGTTACACGGACATTCTCTTCAGGCTGTCCCTCAAGCTCCTGTTGCTTTCATCTGTGTCAGATCTCATTTTAAAAGAATATGAAGTTCATTTTAACTCCTCTTCCTCCACTTCTGTTTTTCCTTTTTATATTTGAGATTGGCAGTAGTTTCAGTACTTTTGATTAAAGAGAAGGCCTGGGAAATCTAAACTGCTGAAGCATACACAGTGTATTACCGTTGTCACAGTTTTGTTTTTTGGTATATTTTACTATTTACTGCTTTAAGATAGGTTTTGTGATACACGTAATACGTTGTGTGTTACATGCTGCTTTTGTCACAGAAAAATATGTTAATACTCATTAAAACTACATTTTTATTTATTTTGTTGACCATATATGCCTACCTTTTCCTAAATACCCATTTGTTTTATTGTTCATTCATCTCATGGTTTACAAATTTGTGGTTCTTGTTTAATTTTTTTATTTTTATTTTTCGAGACAGTTTTGCTCTTGTTACCCAGGCTGGAGTGCAATGGCGCGATCTCGGCTCACCTCAACCTCCGCCTCCTGGGTTCAGGCAATTCTCCTGCCTCAGCCTTCCGAGTAGCTGGGATTACAGGCACGCGCCACCATGCCCAGCTAATTTTTTGTATTTTGAGTAGAGACGGGGTTTCACCATGTTGACCAGGATGGTCTCAATCTCTTGACCTCGTGATCCACCCGCCTCGGCCTCCCAAAGTGCTGGGATTACAGGCTTGAGCCACTGCGCCCGGCCTAATTTTTTTTTTTAATTTAACTTATAAAGACTTCACTATTTTTAAGCTCTTGGCATTTTATTGTTTTAATAGGTAAAACTTTATCCAGTGCCCTATTTGAAAGTACTGTCTTCTTTGATTTCCACTCCCCATGTGGCAAATGAGAAAAATTGTCATGTTTTGAACATCTCTTACCTGTAATCAAAATTCTATATAATAAATACTTTAAATTTTTTTCTTTTTAATTGACAATAATTATATGTATACAATAGACTCTAACATTTAGTATCTGTAATTATATCTCTAATATATCTAACCAGTTGTATGTTGGTTGGTTGGTAAAAAATAAAGGATTTGAAGAAAAGGGAAATTCCACCTTACCCTCTTATAGATCGTTAGGAGTTTCATGGAGGCAGAAATGAAATACCGGTTCATCCTTGAGGTTGATGCAGAATCCTCATGTCCTGTCTTCTCATATTGAATTATTATATAACTAATTTTGATTAATGCCGAAAAGGTATTGTTTTTATTCAGGCCAGTTCTGGGTGGTTAAAATCCCCCATCATAGGAACAGGACTCAAATGTTTCAAGGCTACTATGCTAAAAATGTTGGTGTTCTGTTTTATTTCTGCATCAATCATTGTTAATAAATCATGCCTCTCATTTACTGATTAATGTGGTATGAGGTATTGACACTACTCAGCTATACAAGTGGAAAAACGGTGTTGATGGGTTTCTGTCCCCCAAATATTCTCTTTCTGCCCTGTCGGTAGCTTAGTAAACCACTTGAAAGATTGTCAGTGACCTTTCCTTTTCTAATTTCACTAGTCAGATCTGCCTGCCTGACATTTTGCTAACATAAATGCTGCCGTCTGTTTCTTCTCTCTCATTTGAAATTTAGTCGCTGTCAGGGTTGAATCAAGTGGGCTGTGCTGCTACCCTGCCTCATTCTTCTGCCTTCACACCTCTTAAGGTATCTCCTGTTATTGTAATTCACCAGGAAATTTGGGGAGGGGGAATATATAAGGTCTTGAATTTTTCAATGAATTGATCTAACAATCTGAAATATAGGATTGCATAAATATACTTGTATTTGAAACTATTTGAGTTTAACATTGATTTCCCTTGAAATTTTTTAAAAGTTTTGTGATGCTAGAGATTGTCATAGAGCTCACATTAATTCTTTGTATTCAGATTGTTTGATGTGTTGTTCTGATTTTTTTTTTTTTTTTTTTGAGACGGAGTTTTGCTCTTGTTACCCAGGCTGGAGTGCTATGGCACGATCTTGGCTCACCGCAACCTCCGCCTCCTGGGTTCAAGCAATTCTCCCGCCTCAGCCTCCTGAGTAACTGGGATTACAGGCACGCGCCATCATGCCCAGCTAATTTTTTGTATTTTTAGTAGAGATGGGGTTTCACCATGTTGACCAGGATGGTCTCGATCTCTTAACCTCGTGATCCACCCACCTCGGCCTCCCAAAGTGCTGGGTATTCTGATTTTTTTATCAAAGTTTTTTTCTTGTCATGAATTATTATTTCACTTTTGTTAGTATATAATGTCAAATTATTGTATCCAATTAACTCTGTTGTCTCATGTGCATACAAAATAATTTGAGTCCAAAAAAACTGTCACTGCCAAAACCCTCTACAGTAGGGGTCAGCCAACTGTGGCCCCTAGGCCACTTGGGTTTATAAATAAAGCTTTATCTTTATCTTTATATTCAGTCTCTTTTGTTGATATATTACCTGTGGTTGCTTGCACAGTAAATACCTGGGTTGGAATAATTGTGACCAAGACCATATACCTACAAGCCTAAAATATGTACGGTCTGGCCGTATAAGAAAAAAATTTATATCAACAATAATGTCATAAGAGATGATACACATCACTTTCCATAAAAATTTTAGCTCTAAAAATTCAGAACTTGTAGTACTTTATTTTTGAAGGCCTCTAGGAATGGTCATTCCGTATTTGTTATCACTGGATATGTACAAAATGATGAACAGTTCTTACTCTCAAGAAGACCTTTGTCTGACTTACAACTGTCCTGCTCTGATTTATACTTCTTTGATTTCCAGAGTGGAGATTTTCTAGTTATTTAGCATTTTTTAATGTAAGAATCCTTTTTTTAAAAAAAACAAGATTTCCTTTTTTTAATGTAAGAATTTAAAAACAATTACGATGCCATCTTTAGTTTCTTCCTAGATAAACTCAGATCCCTTTACATACCTTTCCTAGCCTGTTAATCTTTAATGAATTTTCACAAGTTCTCTGCCCTCCATTCTGGCTTGATGGTCCACAACTAGAAATATATCCCTCATTAGAGCTTGCCCATTTAGGGTGGTTTTAGAAATTTTGGTCTTATTTTTGCTAAGTATCCTCTGTAATTCTCAAAGGTTTTAGTTATACTTCTTTTATGTTTTGAGACAGAGTCTTGCTCTGTCTCCCAGGCTGGAGTACAGTAACAGCTCACTGCAACCTTTGCCTCCCAGGCTCAAGCGATCCTCCCACCCTAGTCTCCTGAGTAGTTGAGACTACAGATGTGTACTACCACACCTGGCTAATTTTTAAGTTTTTGTAGAGACAGAGTCCTACTACATTGCCCAGGCTGGTCTCAAATTCCTGGGTAAGCGATCATCCCGCCGTGCTGGGTGTCAGCCACTGCGCCCAACCTAGTTATACTTCTAAATGAGAGTTACTTTCCACATGTTGTATCCTGTGTTTTTCCTGAACATTTAATTTTGCTGTTTGAACATTTTTACGTCTCTAATATGCCAGAATACTTTCAAATTGTTGCAAAAAAAGTACATATAACTAGTACCCAGTGGCTCACACCTGCAATCCCAGTGTTGGGAGCCCAAGGAGGGACTACAGTTGATGGCAGGAATTCAAGGCTGCAGTGAGCTGTGATCACACACCACTGCACCCCAGCAAGACTGTGACTAAAAACATAAAAACCGAATTCTTGTATCATGCCCTTGTATTTTTTTATTTTTATTTTTATGGATACATAGTAGGTGTGTATATTTATGAGATACTTTAATACAGGTATATAATGCATAATAATTATCTCAGGTAAATGGGCTATTCATCACCTTAAGCATTTTTCCTTAGTGTTACAAACAATCCAATTATACTCCTTTAGTTATTTTAAAATTTACAATTAAATTATTATTTACCGTAATGACCCTTTTGTACTATCAAATACTGGATCTTACTCTTTTTATTTTTTGTACCCATTAAGCCCACCTCCTCCTGCCACTCTCCTACTACCTTCCCAGCCTCTGGTAACCCTCATTTTAATCTGCATCATGTTTTTTTAGTGCTGACCCCAACTTTTTTTTGTTTTGAGACAGAGTCTCACTCTTTCGCCCAGGCTAGAGTGCAATGGCACGATCTTGGCTCACTGCAACCTCCGCCTCCTGGGTTCAAGTGATTCTCCTGCTTCAGCCTCCCGAGTAGCTGGGATTATAGGTGCACGCCACCACGCCTGGCTAATAATCCCAACTTTATAACAACCGTAAACCTGAGAAACCTTCTCTGCTTATTATTGAACATGCCCTACATACCTGGCTGCCTCCTGAAGAAACTTTGTAATTATCTTCCATGTTAACCCTTTGCTAGCCTTTCTCAACTGGGTTCCTTTTTGGAACAACACAGAAAATTATTTCAGCAACTTTGTTTTCAGAATTCTCTCAAAAAAGGTACATATAACGAGTACCCTTCTAGATGTGTGAGAGAGAAGTTAATTGGTTAGATTCCATAACACCTTCGGGCATTGTGGCTTATTCTCTCTCAAAGTCATAATTGAAAAAGGTTAAATGTGACTGTGCCAAAAGTTGTGTGATCCAGACCACACAACTTTCTTGTTCTACATGGCTATCATGTGAAATGAAGTATAAAACTTTACTAGATTTAAGAAAGATAGGTCTAACTTTTTTTCTATCAGACCTGCTGTACTGTCAAATGATGATTTTAAATGATTTATTTGGCTGGATGTGATGGCTCACACCTGTAATCCCAGCACCTTGGGAGTCTGAGGTGGGCGGATCACCTGAGGTCGGGAATTCCAGACCAGCCTGACCAACATGGAGAAACCCCATCTCTACCAAAAATACAAAATTAGCTGTGCCTGATGGCGGGTGCCTGTAATCCCAGCTACTTGGGAGGCTGAGGCAGGAGATTTGCTTCTGAACCTGGGAGGCGGAGGTTGCGGTGAGCCAAGATCATGCCATTGCACTCTAGCCTGGGCAACAAGAGCAAAACTCTGTCTCAAAAAAAGAAAAGGAAAAAAAGAAAGATTTATTCTTCATTTTTTTTAGTATCTCTGTTATTTTCACAGCAATTATACATTATATTTATGAATTATTTTATCTTACTGCTTAAACTCAACCCCAGGCTTAAAGGTTGAGTTTATGCCAGTTTCTGAGGTTCTTTTTTTTCATTGCCTAAATTCTCTAGTGAGAGATACTTTTCTTTTCATTTTTTTCTCTCTCCAGTTTTCCAGGAGTTCCCAAATACAGTTAATAGCCCCAGAGTGATTTAAGCTAATTATTTTTGTATCCTAGAATGTAAGTCACTTAGATTTATAGCTTCAATAAAAATACATTTTAAAAACCGTCATATTTATAAGTCTCCTCTCTTCTGGCTTTGTTTTTCGTCATACCCAGTTGTGCATTATCTGTTGTTTATTTTTGTTTGTTTTTTGTTTTTTTGAGATGGAGTCTTGCTCTGTTGCCCAGGCTGTAGTGCAGCAGTGCAATCTCAGCTTGCTGCAGCTTCCACCCCCTGGGTTCCAGCAATTCTCCTGCCTCAGCCTCCCGAGTAGCTGGGACTGCAGGTGTGCCCCACCACACCCAGCTAACTTCTGTATTTTTAGTAGAGATGGGGTTTTACCATGTTGGCCAGGCTGGTTTCAAACCCCTGACCTCAGGCCATCCCGCTTACCTCCACCTCCCAAAGTGCTGGGATTATAGGTGTGAGCCACCGCACCCGGCCTATTGCTGTTTCAAAGCAAAGAGAGAGAACATTCACTCCCCATCAGTGTTGTTTGTTTAAGCTCTTCTTTCTCATCTAATAAAGTTGCCTATTAACTTTCTCCTTTTATTCTTTAACGCTTAAATTTCTAGTCTATGCCCTGTTAATATGTGTTTTTAAAATTTTTGAACTTATTTCTTCCTCTATGTCTAGAATAATCTAATAATTCAGTCTGGTCTTGAATTCCTGACCTCGTGATCCACCTGCCTTGGTCTCCCAAAGTGCTGGGATTACAGGCGTGAGCCTCCTTGCCCGGCCAGCTTGGCTTTTAAAAATACAGAATTAATTCATTTCATCAAACCCTCTTTTTTTTTTCTTCCTTGTTTTTTTTTTTTGAGATGGAGTTTCACTCTTGTTACCCAGGCTGGAGTGCAATGGCGCAATCTCAGCTCACCGCAACCTCCACCTCCTGGGTTCAAGCAATTCTCCCACCTCAGCCTCCTGAGTAGCTGGGATTACAGGCACGCACTACCATGCCCAGCTAATTTTTTGATTTTTAGTAGAGATGGGGTTTCACCATGTTGACCAGGATGGTCTCGATCTCTTGACCTCGTGATCCACCCGCCTCGGCCTCCCAAAGTGCTGGGATTACAGGCTTGAGCCACTGCGCCCGGCCTTTTCTTTCTTTTTTTTTTAAAGAGAGGGTCAGGCCAGGCACAGTGGCTCACATCTACAATCCAGCGGTTTGGGAGTCTGAGGCTGGATCACTTGAACTCAGGAGGTTGAGACCAACCTGTCTAACGTGGCAAGACCCTGTCTCTACAAAAAAAAAATAGAAAAATTAACTGGGCATGGTGGTGTGCACCTATAGTTCCAGCTACTTGGGAGGCTGAGGTAGGAAGATTACCTGAGCCTGGGAGACCATGCCATCACACTCTAGCCTGGATGACAGAGTAAGACCCTGTCTCAAAAAAAAAAAAAAAAAAAAAAAAAGAGAGACAGTATCTGGCTCTGTCACCCAGGCTGGAGTGCAGTACACAACTATAGCTCATTACAGCCAGTATTTCGTCTTGAATAATAATTATTGATGTATCTCTGTTTCCTCACAGGTTGATGATAGACCTAATGCTCTATTAAGTTCATCTACAACAGAAACAGGTAATGGACACAAAGGTACAATTAGCCACATCCAGAGTATAATTCTTCTTCATTTTTTTTTAATTAAAAAAATTTAAATAGAGACAAGGACTTTCTATGTTGACCAGGCTGGTCTCAAACTCCTGGGCTCAAGGGATCCTTCTGCCTTGGCCTTCCAAAATGTTTCGACTACAGGTGTAAGCTACACCACACAGCCAAGATTATACATTTTTACCAAGATTTTCCTAAATTACTTCTTAGTGAGCTGTGGCTGCTTTTTCTGAGATGGAAATCAGATACAGAATTGGAAACCACTGGGGTTTTTTTCCCATTTTTAAATTAAATTGGTTGTTCAGCTAGTGAGCCATTTGATATGAATAAGTAAACAACAGCTAGCAGGGCCCTAGGTTTGCAGGAGACGGTTCAATATGTTACCTTTCATTCTACCTTATGGATACACCACAAATAACATGACAACGTAAAATACACACAAGCAGTCCCCCTGCTTTCAGGATTACTTTTCTGTACCAGACTTTTCACTATTAAATAGAATTATTATTTTACATCATTGCCATCTTTGATTTTTTATTTGCTATTTAACTTTTATAACTTGTATGTCTGCTATTATATTTTCTTTTCATCTCCTCCAATCTCATTTTACTTTTCATGCTGATTTAGTTCATCATTCCCCTGCGTATTCTTTTCCTGCTGCTATCCAGAGAAATAAGTCTCAGCGCCCTGAAAGCTTCCTTTTCCGAGCAGGTGTCAGGGCAGAAACAAACAAAGGTAGGTGGTAGTGATTTTAAAAGCCAGGGACAAGGGGAGGTTTATACAGTGACACTAGCTATTAGATGCATGCTGTTCAAACTTCTACACCAAGCTGTCACCTTGGCAAAAGCTTTATGCATGTGTCTGTGATCTCATTGATATTAAATCAGGAAAATCTTACTTGAATGTGTTTGGCTGAGAGTGTTTCTTAGTGCCACCTAAAAGCAGGTTATAGAGCGTTTTAACAAACAGAATGCTCTTTCGAGGGTTTAGGCAATGTTCTTTGTCTTGGTAATGAGCTCTATTTCAGATTTTTCTATTGATAAAAGCTATTTTCTTAAAACAATGAATCAATAATTTTTAAATTACTTAAAGTCACATGTCTTTTAGGTAATAATGATAAATTTCTGCCTGGTCCCCAAAAGAGAAGTTACCTGGGGGTGGAAACAACCATTTCAAGTCAAAAATGACTACTTTTGGCATGGTGGTATGTGCCTATGGTCCCAGCTAGTTGGGAGGCTGAGGGGGAGGATTGCTTGAGTCTAAGAGTTCAAGTTTACAATGAGTTATAATTAAAAGCACCACTGTTCTTTAGCTTGGCCAACAGAGCAAGACTTGTCTCTTAAAAAAACAAAAATAAGCCTGGGCATGGTGGCTCATGCCTGCAATCCCAGCACTTTGGGAGGCCGAGGCAGGCAGATCTCTTGAGGTCAGGAGTTCAGCCTGACCAATGTGATGAAACCCATCTCTACTAAAAATACAAAAATTGGCTGGGCATGGTGGCTCACTCCTGTAATCCCAGCACTATGGGAGGCCAAGGTGGGCAGATGACATGAAGTCAGGAGTTTGAGACCAGCCTGTCCGACATGGTGAAACCCCATCTCTACTGAAAACAGAAAAATTAGCTGGATATTTTTTTATGGTGCCTGTAACTCCAGCTACTCAGGGGGCTGAGGCAGGAGAATCACTTGAACCTGGGAGGCAAAGGTTGCAGTGAGCCAAGTTTGCACCACTGCATTTCAGCCTGGGCGACAGAGTGAGACTGTGTCTCCAAGAAAACAAAAATTGTCCGGGCATGGTGGCGTACGCCTGTAGTCCCAGCTACTTAGTAGGCTGAGGCAGAGTCACTTGAACCCAGGAGGTGGAAGTTGTAGTGAGATGAGATTGCGCCACTGCACTCCACCCTGGATGACAGTGTGAAACTTTGCCTCAAAAAAAATTTAAAAATAGGCCAGGCGAGATGGCTCATGCCTGTAATCCTGGCACTTTGGGAGGCAGAGGTAGGTGGGATCACTTGAGCTCTGGAGTTGAGACCAGCCTGTGCAACATGGCAAAATCCCAACTCTTAAAAAAATACAAAAAATTAGCCAGGCATAGTGGCATGGGCCTGTAGTCACAGCTACTTGTGGGGACCTGAGGCAGTAGGATAGCTTGAGCCCGGGAGGTTGAGGCTGCAGTGAGTCAAGATTGCATGACTGCACTCCAGGTTGGGTGACAAAGTGAGACATCTTTCAACAAACAAACGTGTTCCATTAACAGAAGTAGGCTTCAGAAGGTGGGTGATAAGAAACTTCTGGGAGTTAAAAGAACTTGTTCTAACCCAATGTAAAGAAACTAAGAACTTTGAAAAAATATTTGACAAAATGTTAATAAAAATAGACAATATAGAGAGGAATATAAATGAATTAATGGGGTTGAAAAACACAACATGAGAACATCGTGAAATATGCACAAGTTTTAATAGCAGAATTGATCAGGCAGAAGAAATGATATCACAGGTTGAAGACCAACTTAATTATATAAAACTAGAAGACAAGAATAGAGAAAAAAGGATAAAAAGGAATGAGCAAAGTCTCCAAGAAATATGGGACTGTGAAAAGACCTAATTTACGTTTGATAGGTGTACCTGAATACGACGAAGAGAATGAATTCAAGCTGGAAAGTACTCTTCAGGATATTATTCAGGAAAACATTCCCAACCTAGCAAAGCAGGACAATATTCAACCCCAGGTAATACAGAGAATACCACAAAGATATTCCTCAAGAAGAGCAACCCCAAGGCACATAATCGTTAGATTCACCAGGGTTGAAACGAAGGAGAAAATACTAAGGGCAGCCAGAGAGAAAGGTCGGGTTACCCACAAAGGGAAGCCTATCAGACTACAGCAGATCTTTCAGCAGAAACCCTACAAGCCAGAAGAGAGTGGGGGCCAATATTTAACATCCTCAAAGAACAGAACTTTCAGCCCAGAATTTCATATCCAGCCAAACTAAGCTTCACAACTCAAGGAAAAATAAAATCTTTTATGAACAAGCAAGTACTCAGAGATTTTATTACCACCAGGCCTTCTTTACAAGAGCTTCTGAAAGAAGCATTACACATAGAAAGGAACAACCAGTATTAGCCTTTCTACCAAAAAGTAAAGAACATCAACATAAAGAAGAATTTACACTAACGAATGGACAAAACAGCCAGTTAACGTCAAATGGCAGTAATTCTAAATTTAAATCGACTAAATCCCCCAATCAAAAGATAGAGCCAAAACCCAACGGTATGCTACATCCAGACCCATTTCACATGCAAGGATACCCAAAGACTCAAAGGGATGGAGAAAGATTTACCAACGAAACGGAGAGCAAAAATAAATAAATAAAAAGCAGGGGTTGCAATTCTCGCCTCTGATAAAATATGTTTTAAAGCAACAAAGACATAGTGGTAAAAGGATCAGTGCAACAAGAAGAGCTAACAATCCTAACACCCAGATACATAAGACCTATAAAGAGACTTAGACTCCCTAGACTCCCACACAATAATAGTGGGAGTCTTATAGATCTACGAGACAGAAAATTAATAAGGATATCCGGGACTTGAACTCAGATCCGGAACAAGTAAACTTAATAGACATTTATAGAGCTCTCCACTTTAAATACACAAAATATACATTCTTGTCAGTACCACATCACACCTACTCATAGGTTTAAATGAAATACTGGTCGGCCATTATTAAGCACAATTATTGGCATAAAAGAAGTTTTCAATACCCATTTTTAGAATGAAGCAACATTCCCATTCTCTCTCCCTCTTTTTCTTCCTCTTTCTTCTCCTTCACTCCTTTTTTTCCTTTCTTTCCTTCTCTCCTTTCTTTTTTTCCTAAAAGAAACAAATGAAAAACACAGCCTATCTTTAATCTTATCAACAGATCCATTCGAAGTAAGACTTGAAAGTCACCTAAAGATGCACTGCTGGTCGGAATGTAAGACAGCAGGGAAGACTGCATTTTCAGTCAGCCTCCGTACCCACGGATTCTGTATTTATGTATTCAGCCAGCCATGGACAGAAAATTCTTCAGAAAAAATACAACAATAATAAATAATACAAATTATAAAATACAGTATAATGACAATTTAGATAGCATTTACATTGTGTTAAGTATACGTAACAGAAGATTTACAGTATAGTATTAAGGAGGATATACATAGGTTGTATGCAAATACTACTGCATTTTCAATAGGGGACGTGTTCATCCACAAAGTTTGGTATGGGAAAGGCTGGTTTCTGGAACCAATTTCCTATGGATACTGAGGGATGACTGTACCCCATGACCAGCAGTTTTACTTTTGAGAAATATGTACACATGTATACCAAAAATGTGTATGAAAATACTGATGGCAGCAGTATTCATAATAGCCTGAAACAGTGAAACAATGTCCATCAACAGAATGGGTAAATGAATCGTGGTGTATTTGTACAGTAGAATATCATATAAGCAATGGACAAAGTCCTGTGTACAACAACGTGACTTAATCTCATAAACATATCATTGACCAAAGGAAGACAGAAACAAATAAATACATGCAACACAGCCTAATTTATACAAAGTTCAAAATGAACAAAACCATCTACAGTGTTAGAAGTCAAGATACTGGTTTTGAGCACTTTGGGTACTTAAAGGCAAGGAGCATGGAAGGCTCCTGGGATTGGTAAGAGTGCATTATAACCCTTACTGTCTTCATTTGCTGAGGCTATTTTATTGGGCACTGTGCTTATGATTTGTGTATTTTTCTCTATTTGTTAATTTTCAATAAAAACATTTTTAAGTAGTTGTAATCAAACAAAAGTAGTTGTGTCAACTGGGTAACAAACATGTAGTTTTTTTCTTTTTCTTTCTTTTTTTTTTGGAGACAGAGTCTTGCTCTGTTACCAGGTGCCAGGCTGGAGTGCAGTGGCACGATCTTGGCTCACTGCAACCCCTGCCTCCCAGGTTTAAGCAGTTCTTCTGTCTTGCCTCCCGAGTAGCTGGGACTACAGGTACGCGCCACCACGCCCAGCTAATTTTGTATTTTTAGTAGAGATGGGGTTTCACCATGTTGGCTAGGATGGTGTTGATTTCTTGACTTCGTGATCTGCCTGCATCGGCCTCCCGAAGTGCTGGGATTACAGGCGTCACCATGTTGGCTAGGATGGTGTTGATTTCTTGACTTCGTGATCTGCCTGCATCGGCCTCCCGAAGTGCTGGGATTACAGGCGTCACCATGTTGGCTAGGATGGTCTTGATTTCTTGACTTCGTGATCTGCCTGCATCGGCCTCCCGAAGTGCTGGGATTACAGGCGTGAGCCACCATGCCTGGCCTATAATTTTTTAATACTGTTCTCTGTTGTGTATATTTGAAAATCTCCCTAATAAAAACCCTTTTAAAAAGTCAATCCAGAAAGTAGAAAGCACTATACTGTATTTGCAAGAAAACTGTGATCAGGGAGAGCTGGATATTTTCCTAGCACCAGCAGTTGCCTTTCTGTCTTACATATTAATATTTTTGTAGGTCATGCTTTACCCCTTCCTCCATCTGCTCTACCTGCCACTGAGTCTATAGATTCCATAACAAGACAGAATTCAAGAGAGAGAGAAGAAGAGCTGGAATTAATAGATCAGTTGCGTAAAGTATGTACATTACCTTTGATTTATACTTTTTCAGTGTTATTGCTATAGACCATAATCCTGCAATCACTTCTTCATTTGACACGTAATCTTAATTTATTTTTTTTAGACAGAATCTCACTCTGTCACCCAGGCTGGAGTTCAGTTGCATGATCCTGGCTCACTGTAGCCTATGCCTCCTGGGTTCAAGCAGTTCTTCTGCCTCAGCCTCCCAAGTAGCTGGGATTACAGGTGCTCATTACTATACCCAGCTAATTTTGTATTTTCAGTAGAGAAGGGGTTTCACCATGTTGGCCAGGCTAGTCTCAAACTCCTGACCTTAGGTGATGCACTGGTCTCAAACTCCCAAAGTGCTGGGATTACAGCGTGAGCCTCCATGCCCAGCTGTAATTTTTAGTGGAATTAACAAGTACCCACTGTGTGCTGTGTTTTGTGACGAATGTAAAACATTTTGCTATTAAGGAAATTATTTTCAGCTGTTTACTTAGAATATGAGGTGGTTTATTCTATAAAGCTCAATTCCTAGCCCTATTCATTTAAATTTTTTTTCTACTTCATGTTATAAAGAGATATTGTAAGAGTAATAATTTATATGTGCGTACACATTTATATAAATATCACACTTATACACACATAGTGATTTGCTCTTTATTTTGGGATTGAAAGAGAATCTAGGTTTTTTTTTTTTTATCAGAAAGTTGTAAATGAATTTTTGTTGTACTTTGTACCATTGTGGCCTGGCTGCCATACATATGTATTAGATTTCCTTAAGTTAGACTTAGGATGGAGGGATAAAATGGATAATGTGGTACTTACTTCCTTTTTATCTTGTTTTTTTAAATTAAGTAGATTTCATTATAACTCCCTTATGTCCTATGTGTCAGTCATTCTTGAGTTAATATATTTACCTGTTTTTTGTTCTTTCAGCATATTGAGTACCGGTTGAAAGTATCCCTGCCTTGTGACCTGGGAGCAGCTCTAACTGATGGCGTTGTTCTCTGCCACTTGGCCAATCATGTGCGACCTCGATCTGTCCCAAGCATTCATGTTCCTTCACCAGCTGTAGTAAGTTTATGATGCTAAAAAGCCTTGGCTATTCATCAGAGATGGGTTAAGCACATTGGGCAGACATTTGTTAAGCATTGTGGTAGATATTAAGGATACAGATATAAAGAGTCCAGTCTCTACCTTCCTGGTCTCACTTCTACTAGATAAGAAATAGACACGTATACAATAACTTAGTGTAGTGTGATAAATGTAAGACAGTCATGTACAATGTGTGCTATAGGGATACAAAAAGGAACCACTTAACTCTGCCTAGAGAGTTCAGGGAAGCCTTCCCAGAGCAGGTAAAATTCGAGCTTACTCTTGAGGTATAAGAAGGAATTTTCCAGCAGTACAGAGAGGGAAGAAGGCATTCTGGGCATAGGATTTCTAGATTCAAAAGCTAAGGAAAGTTATGTTACTTAAGGAGTTGGTAAATCGTTGAGAATGGATCATGCACAGGTTTGTGAATATAAATAGGAAGTGCGGGTAAAGCTAGAGAGGTAAGCTGGGGCCATGGTACAAGGCCTTATGAACCATGTCAGGAACGTTTACCCTAGTATAGACAATGAGGAAACACTGAATTTAAGAGGGAATACCGTGATTATAATTGCAGTTTAGAATGAGGAATCTAGTCTGGGCATGGTGGCTCATGCTTATAACCTTTGGGAGGCTGAGGCAGTCGGATCGCTTGAGCCCAGGAGTTTGAGACCAGCCAGGACACGTGGCAAAACCCTGTCTCTACCAAAAATACAAAAAAATTAGCTGGACATGGTGGTATGCACCTATAGTCCCAGCTACTCAAGAGGCTGAGGTGAGAGTATCACTTGAGTATCACAGGAGTTCGAGGATGCAGTGAGCTGTGATTGCACCAGTGCACTCCAACCTAGGTGACAGAGCAAGACCCTATCTCAAAGCAAAAAAAAAAAAAAAAAAAAGGAATGATGCATCTAGGTGCTAAGTGAGAAATGGGTAAATTAAAGGTGGTACACTGGAAAGATCCCCAAGCCAGAGTCAGTGGTCATGCCTATAGTTCCAGCTACTTGGGAGTCTGAGGCATGAGGATGCTATGATCCCAGGAGTTTGAGACTAGCCTGGGTGATACAGCAAGATCCTGTTTCTTAAAAGACAAAACAAGAGGCCAGGCACAGTGGCTCACATCTTTAATCTCAGCACTTTGGTAGGCCGAGGCTGGTGGATCACCTGAGGTCAGGAGTTCGACCTTGACAGCATGGTGAAACCCTGTCTCTACTAAAAATACAAAATTCGCTGGGTGTGGTGGCATGCACCTGTAGTCCCAGCTACTCAGGAGGCTGAGCCAGGAGAATCGCTTGAACCCAGGAGGTGGAGGCTGCAGTGAGCCAAGATTGCACCAGCCTGGGCAAGACAGAGCAAAACTTGTCTCAAGAAAAAGAAAAAAGAAAAGAAAGATGCCCATTTAAAAGGGTATTGTATTAGTCCAGGCTAGAAAGCTAACAAGCCTGGTATAATAGGGCAGTGAGAGAGAAGATTATTCAGAGGTAAAATTGACATGATCTAGGGATCAACCGTAGGTGGAAGATGAGGGAGAAAATGCATTCAGGATACCTGGCAGGTTTTCTTTGTCCAGGTGTAGACATCAGTATCAGGATAGCAATCTGCAGAAGAACAGGTTTTGGGTTGACACACCCATCCTCTTTTTTCTTCACATTTTTTTTCTTTTTTTTGAGACGGAGTCTTGCTCTGTCACCAAGCTGGAGGGCAGTGGTGCAATCTTGGTTCACTGCAACCTCTGCCTCCCGGGTTCAAGCGATTCTTCTGCTTCAGCCTCCTGAGTAGCTGGGACTACAGGTGCATGCCACCATGCCCAGCTAATTTTGTATTTTTGGTAGAGATGGGGTTTCACCGTGTTGGCCAGGATGGTCTCCATCTCTTGACCTTGTGATCTGCCCGCCTTGGCCTCCCAAAGTGCTGGGATTACAGGTGTGAGCCACCATTGTCCGGCCTTTCTTCACATTTTTAGTATGAAAAAATTTCAACCTTTAGAGTATTTGAAAGACTCATACAGTAAATACTATTAAAGTTTATACCTAGATCTGGCATTTCTTGCATTGTGCTGTACTTAGGTATCTGTATTTGTATGTGCATTTTAATTACACCATCCAGAGCTTACAGATGTCATATTCTTTTCCCCCAAGGTATTTCAGGGAACTGTCCTAAGCCACCTTGCTCTTCCCACTAGCCTACAGGCAGTGACTGACAAGCATGGGGCTTGTCCTCCTACCTCAGGGAGGGAGTGTCATGCAGTTTATACTTGTGAGGTCCCTGTGGGATTAAGCTGAAGCTGAGGAGATAGGCGGGAGGATCACTTGCAGCCAGGAGTTTAAGACCAGCCTGGGAAATATAGTGAGAGCCCATCTCTACAAAACACTTTAAAAATTAGGTGTGCACCTACTACTTAGGAAACTGTTGTGGGAGGATCACTTGGGCCCAGGAGTTCGATGCTGCAGTGAGCCACAGGCATGCCACTGCACAACAACTTGGGCAACAGAGTGAGACCCCGACCCTAAAAAAGAAAGACAGACTGAAAGGAAATGAACCAAGTGTTGTAGTTATATTTAAATAATGAACTATGGGTAAATAATTTTTTTGGCTGTTCCTCCAAGTTTTCTTTAGTGCAGGGGTCCCCATCCCCTAGGCCACAAATGGGTACCAGTCTGTGGCCTGTTAGGAACTGGGCCGCACAGCAGGAGGTGAGCAGTGGGCCCGTGAGCAAAGCTTCATCTGTATTTACAGGTGCTCCCCATCACTCACATCACTACCTGAGCTCTGCCTCCTGTCAGATCAGCAGCAACATTAGATTCTTACAGGAGCATGAACCTGTTGTGAACTGTGCATGCAAGGAGGGATCTAGGTCATGTGCTCCTTATGAGAATCTAATGCCTGATGATCTGTTACTGTCTCCCATCACCCCCAGATGAGACTGTCTAGTTGCAGGTAAAGAAGCTCAGGGCTCCCATCGATTCTGCATTATGGTAGATTTCATTATGTATGATTATTTTATTACATATTTCAATGTAATAATAGAAGCCAGGCATGGGCTCACACCTGTAATCCCAGCACCACTTTGGGAGGCTGAGGTGGGCAGATCATGAGGTCAGGAGTTCAAAACCAGCCTGTCCAATATGGTGAAACCTTGTTTCTACTAAAAATACAGAAGTTAACTGGGTGTGGTGATGTGTGCCTGTAGTCCCAGCTACTCAGGGGGCCAAGGCAGAAGAATCACTTGAACCCAGGAGGTGGAGGTTGTAGTGAGCCATGATTGCGCCACTGAACTCCAAATGAAGTGCACAATAAATGTAATGTGCTTGAATCATCCTGAAACCATTTCCCTAACCCCACCCTTGGTCCATGGAAAAATTGTCTTCCATGAAACCAGTCCCTGGTGCCAAAAAGGTTGAGGGCTGCTGCCTTAGTGTTTTATTGTTTTAAAATGGAAAAAAATTGTTGTTCTTTCAAAATTTTTCTGCTTTGTACTTGCCTTATAAAATCAAAGCCATTGTCAAGTTGGGGGTGACAAACTACTGTCCACAGGCCAGCACTTATTTTTGTAAGAAAGTTTCATTGGAACCCAGCCTCAGTTTTTTGTTTGTATATTGTCTACAGTTGCTTTCAAGCTCCTGGTAGAATTGAGTAGTTGCAAGAGTTCTGTTTGTTTTTGAGATAAGAGTTTCACTCTTGTTGCCCAGGCTGGAGTGCAATGGCACGATCTCATATCACTGCAACTTCTGCCTCCTGGGTTCAAGTGATTCTCGTGCCTCACCCTCCCGAGTAGCTGGGATTACAGGCATGTGCCACCACATCTGGCTAATTTTTGTATTACTAGTAGAGACAGCGTTTCTCCTTGTTGGTCAGGCTGTTCTCAAACTCCTGACCTCAAGTGATATGCCCGCCTTGGCCTCCCAAAGTGCTGGGATTACAAGCGTGAGCCACTGCGCCCAGCATTGCAATAGTTCTTATGGCCCTCAAGACTAACATTTGTTATTTGATCCTTTAAGAAAAAGTTTGCTGACCCTCTGGTCTACAGCATTGAGAGTCATGAAGCGATTGGCAAGAGTATTTTTAAAGTTAGGAAATACAAACAAACAAAAACCAAACAAACAAAGAATTAAAAATAGAAAAAAATTAAAAACAAAAAAAAAGAATAAAAAAAAAATAAAGTTAGGAAATATTTTTAAATGTTGCTAGTAGGCTGGACACAGCAGCTCAGGCCTCTCATCCCAGCACTTTGGGAGGCTGAGTCAGGCAGATTGCTTGAACTCAGGAATTCAAGACCAGCCTGGGCAACGTGGTGAAACCCTGTATCTCCCAGTTACCCAGGTGTGATGGCACACAAGTATAGTCCCAGCTACTCGGGAGGCTAAGGTGGGTGGATTACCTGAGCCCGGGAGGTCAAGGATACAGGGAGCCAAGCTCGCACCACTGCATGCCAGCCTGGGTGACAGAGCAAGACCCTGTTCCAAAAACAAAACTTTCTAGTAACACATTTTTTTCCCTCATTTCAGCCTAAATTAACAATGGCGAAATGCAGGCGAAATGTGGAGAATTTCCTAGAAGCTTGTAGAAAAATTGGTGTACCTCAGGTAATACATTTTTCATTTTATATGTTGCCTAAATACACTTGGGTGTCCTAAAATTTTAGAAATGCAAATCTCTAAAATCTTATAGGACTGAGTTAAGTTGATCATAACTAAAATGATTTTATGTTACAAGAGTCAATATACTTTTGAACAGTTTATTTCCAAGGACCACATGAAGAAATTATAAATGTATAAATTTGAATAATTATAAGTAATCTAAAATAATTGTTCTATTTTCCTAAACTTCCCCACTTGCTATTTGACTTGTATATAATTACATACACAACTAAATATATCCTTCAAAAACTAAGTATATCCCAGATTGAGAATGCTGCAGTTGGCTTTAGTGTTTTAACACTTGGTTTAATACTTTTTAAAATGTTAATTTTGAAATAATTTTAGACGTACAGAAATGTTGAAAAACTAGCATAGAGTTTCTTTATATAGCTCACTCAACTTCTTTAACGTTAACTAATGTCTAATCCAAACATAGGACAGTTATTGAAACGAAGTCACACTAGAACAATATGGTTAACAGAATTGCAGGCTTTATTCGGATTTCATCAGTTTTTCCACTAAACTCCCATTCTTTGGAGTCTGGCATATTGTTGTCCTGCTATTAGGACTCATTGCCTTCAGCTCAGTTATAACTTTATTGCCCTTTAATATTACAAATAAGTTTATATATAGATGTGATTGGGGAAATGAACTTGATATACTCTTATTCAATAACCCTCTTAAAAAGCAATGAAACCAACTAAGCATTGTACTATTAAGGAATATTATATGGTATGTAGTCAGATTTAAAGAAATTAACAGCTTGGTGTCGTGCGATACTTTTTCATTAACCACAACCATTCCAAGTCTCGTAACATATTTTGTCTAGCCTGCAAGGAGAAAAACATGACTCTTTTCTATCACCTTCTTAAAGAGCTATCTGTAACTCAGGATTGGTCCCTGGGCTCACCAGCAACTCCACAGTCTCTCTCTGAGTTAAGCTCCTGTTCCTGTAGCTTTCATGACAGTGACTCTGTTTACCCAGTTCACCATTCCTCTTTCTAACTAACCAGGAGTTAAAGAGGTCACAGCGTCATTTGTCAAAAGAATGACCTTGTCTTTCAGCTCTTTCACATGTTACAAAGTGAAAGAGAGCATGCCCAGCTTCGTAGAGCATTCGTGTTAGCCAGCAGGATTCCCAGGATTGTTTTCTCTATGAAGGTAGATCATCATTCTATTTATTTTTTACTTTTTTGTTTTGATGTTTTTTCATTTTTTTAACCTGAGTTTTAAAATAATGGAAATTTGGCCAGGGGTGGTAATTCAGGCCTGTAATCCCAGCATTTTGGAAGGCCAAGGTAGGCAGATCACGAGGTCTAAAGATCGAGATTAGCCTGGCCAAAATGGTGAAACCCCGTCTCTACTAAAAATACAAAAATTAGCTGGGTGTGGTGGCACACACCTGTAATCCCAACTACTCAAGAGGCTGAGGCAGAAGAATCACTTGAACCTCTGAGGCAGAGGTTGCAGTGAGCCAGGATTGCACCACTGCACTGCACCCCCACCTGGTAACAGAGTGAGACTCCATCTCAAAAAAGAAAAAAGGAAATTTACATAAAGTGGCAGTTAATAAAGACCTTTTTGATTCCTATGGACAAATTCAAAGCAAAATTTTTATTTTTATGTTATTTTATAAAGGCTCATCATATTTCAGAACAAACCTTTCTGCTTTTCTTTCTTTCTTTTTTTTTTTTTTGAGACTGAGTCTCTCTCTGTTACCCAGGCTGGAGTGCAGTGATGCTATCTCAGTTCACTGCAATCTCCACCTCCTGGGGTCAAATGATTCTCCCGCCTCAGCCTCCCAAGTAGCTGGGATTACAGGTGTCTGCCACCACTCGTGGCTATTTTTTTTTTTTTTGCATTTTTAGGTTTCACCATGTTGACTAGGCTGGTCTCGAACTCCTGAACTCAGGTGAGCCACCCACCTTGGTCTCGCAAAGTACTGGGATTACAGGCGTGAGCCGCTGCCTCCGGCCTTAGAACAAACCTTTTTAACTATTTTAAGAGAGCACTTAATATGGTTTCTAATGAAATAACATACATTCTTTTAGACAAGTATGTTATAACAGTCATGTGCACATTAGTGTTCAGTTCTTCCCTTTCACTTCCTGAAGAAGTTCTTGCTTACACAAACATCCAGTTTCTGCTCTAGTTCCCTACCACATTGTCTTTAAACAAAGAGACTATGGCATGGGTTGGTGCAGAGAATGGGAACCACAAAATAGATAGGGGAGTGCTGAAAATGGCCCCACTCAAGTCATGGTGACTTAGCCTATGTCAAAACCTGTTAAAAGTACTGTTTACCAGCAATTGCAGTCATTATACCTGTCCACTGGGCTTTCAGAAGTATCCTCTGTCTCTGAGATTTAAAGTCCCCCTACATTGGAATTCTTGCAGTATGTTCCCACCATCAGTCAACAAAATACAAAACAGTGTGCCTTAAAATACGCATTTAAGTCGGTATTTGCCACGCGGTGGTTGATGATGTTTATTATGGGCCAGCCTGCCCCTGTTGCTCCCAGAGCTGTGCTGTTGGAAGGCAAGTACAGAGAAAAAAAATACAGTTTTAAAAGACAAGGTCTTTTTCCAGAGTGGTTAGACTGAGGTTCTTACACATCCTTCCTCCCTCTCACCACAAAGAGGAAGTGGACATTCTCTGTAGGCCGCCTCTTCCTTCTCCCCTTCTGCCGTCCACCCAAGTCCCTACCACCACAAGCACTACCAGTTTTAGATGGGTTGCTAATATGCTGCTACTACTGCTGAAAACTTAATCATTTGTCTAGGACAAAGTGAAGGGAAGTGAACCAACGCACAAACTTGTAGGTTCGAACTAGCATTCTTAGGCCCTTCTGCCACAGGAGGAGAAACTTCTACCCCTTCTTCCTTTTTCTCCTGTACTTCTGGTCATTCTGGCCTTTACCTACACATGACTTGAAAAGAAAATTGAGAATGTAATCATGATCACTTCTGAAAATGTAAAACAGAAAATGGTATTATAAATATTTTTGTCAAATTCTATACCCAAATAGGATATATAAAGGCAAATAATTTCCCTTCTGTGTATACGTTTTTTATACAAGTTAACCTATGAATGAAATATTAAAGAACAAGGCAATTATTAAAAACCTCTGATAATATTGGCCATATGGGTATTCGTTTTACTTTTATGCTTTTATTAAATATGCTACATTCAAAAAAACTGTAATAATGGGTGATGAAAAACCTATATCTGAGTCCAGTTTCTTTTGTCCGAGAATTGTCATACATTATGTGTTAAAGAATGTCCTCCTGTTGTCAAGTCCAGTAATGTTTGTATTTATTTAGTTAATTTTTGCAATCTCTGAAATGGGGGATGATCTCTGAGTCTGAGGCCGCTAACAGCTCTACATTCATTTTGAACATATTTGTGATCCGGACTTGGTTAAGATTAAAAAACAGAAAGAATGGAAATTTACATAAATTGGTAGTTAGCAAAGACCTTTTTGATTCCTATGAATAAATTCAAAGCAAATTTTTCATTTTTATGTTATATTGTTTTATAAAGTCTCATCATCTTTTAGAATAAACCTTTTCGCTTTCCTTTTTTTATTTTTTTTGAGACAGAATCTCGCTGCATCACCCAGGCTAGAGTGCAGTGGTGCTATCTCAGCTCACTGCAATCTCCACCTCCTGATTTTTAGAGGAACGCCAAATTATTCAGTGCATTTGGCTTCTAGGTGGTAAATTTCCCCCTGATCTTGAGGCTTTCCTCAGCCTTTGAACTTCTTTGATGTACCTGGCATTCCCGAAAATGCCCCGCTCCTCAGCCTGCCCCAGTTTTTGTCCTTGCTTTCTGACCTACTCTTTGTTTGTTTGTTATTAGAGAAGAATGAGTCAGGAAAGAGGTTGCTTCATACAAACCTCACTACTTTCAGGCCTCACACAACTCTAAACCAACACTCACTTCTGTGTATTGTGTTCTGAATGTTCACACTAGTCACCAGATTTATTTTGCGATTTGGTAGTGAGATCAAGCTCAGCACATAGAAGATTCTTTGTAGTTTGGGTTTTCAGCATTTTATTTTTGTTCCTCGTAAAAATGTTACAGGATGTGTATGTGTGAATATGACTGAGATGATCATATTGAATTCTATACTCAAATCTGCATTTCTGATCCACTGACTTTGTTTTTCTGTTTTCCTTTCCTGCTCACACTTTGGACAGGACAATCTTTGTTCCCCTTCTGACATCCTTCAGCTAAACCTCAGCGTTAAAAGAACTGTTGAAACACTACTTTCTCTTGGGGCACACTCAGAAGAATCCAGTTTTGTCTGTCTCTCTATCCAGCTTCTGGGTTTTGTGGCATTTTACTGTACTGTCATGTTAACTCTCTGTATGCTTTATTACCGGCTCTTCCCCTCTAGCTGAAAGATTGCACTCCAGTGACTTTCCACCTCATTCCTGGGCTTGATCAAGGAGGTTTGTTTCTCATTCAGAATTACTTACACACGTGCTTTTTCTCCCCATCGGCCCTCAAAGAGCTAACCAGTAAAGTAGATAAATCCTTTCCTTATATGTGCAGATGAGCAGCCCATCACGTTAGTAAATATTTATAATTAACAAAGAGTAAAAGACCAACATTTTTTCCTCCTGGTCATCCATCCATTCTCCTGGACTACCGCCTTGACTCTCTTACCATAAATGCTGAAGCATGTTTACTAATACAATTCTGAACCTGTACTTCGAATATAATATGTAGAACTTGTTTCCAAGTCACACAACACAACTCCCATCTGGCCATTTTTCCGTGCCTCAGCACAAGTGCTGAAATTGTGGAGTTACTGAACATTCTCAGCAGCTGCTCATGAGGAGAGTCGTCGTGCCTTTTCTGATTCTGGCAGTACCCAGTCACTTAGATTTGTACTTTGAACCGTGTCCTGACATCCTGAATTCTCCCTTTATCGGTT